ATTATCAGATGAGTTGTGTCATTATCCCAGTGTTTGTGGGCAAGTAACCCTTATTTTATTTAATAATGGCCCTAAAGTGCAAGAGTAGTGATGCTGACCATTCAGATATGCCAATAGAAATCATAAAGTGCTTCCTATGAGTGAAAAGGTGTGAAAGCTTAATAAACAAGAAAGTCATATGCTGAGGTTGCTAAGATCTACGGTAAGAATGAATCTTCTGTCTGTGAAATTGTGAAGGAGAAAAAATGAATTCATACTAGTTTTGCTGTCTTACCTCAGACTGGAAAAGTTACTGCCACAGTATGTGATAAGTGCTTAGTTAAGATGCCAAAGGCATTATATCTGTAAGTTATTTTGAAAGATAGAAACCACATTCACGTAACTTTTTATTGGAGTATATTGTTAAAATTGTTTTATTATCAGTTGTTAATCTCTTACTGTGTTGAATTTATAAACTAAACTTTATCTTAGGTATGTATACATAGGAAAAAACATAGTATATGTAAGACTCAGTGTTCTCTGCATTTTCAAGCATCCACTGGGGGTCTTGGGACCCTGTGGATGAGGAGGGACTACTGTATTCCTCAGATTTTAATTAGCATAAGCAGAGCTGTAACTCTTTTTAGAGATTTGTTGGTTAAATTATCTGTCTCTTTCATCTGAGAAGTAAAAGAAAGCTCTTGCCATCTAATCTGGTTTTTATTATTCTTTGTGACCTTTGCTTCTATGTTCTAGAGGTAATTGCTTTCTGTTTTCAGATCATGGTCGTTCACTGGCCATGATTAGATAATCAAACTGTAAAATAGGTATATTTCAACATGATGGAGTGGTTCATGAATTTTATTGATGAACCTTTTATCTTTTTTGATTAATGTGATTGGAATTAAGTATTCTTCTTTACTTCAGATCAAGAGTAACTATATCCTTTCCACCTTTTTAAAGCTGCTTCTTACTTGCTTATGTTTTTCATCTTTCCCTTTAATTTACTACTTCCTACTCCTTACCCTACTTTTTTATCCTTATGGAAACAAGCAAATCAGTGTGTAGTACATTCTTATCTATACGGCAATCATCCACACTGTATTTTTTTCTTGACTGGTTTTGTATTGACATTACCTGTTGTGTAGGAGACTTCCCTTATTTGTACAGTGAGGTTTAGTTTTCTGACTTTGTCAGTACATGATACTGTTTTAAGTGAGGGCTCATTCTTTCACTGCATCTCCTGGAGTCATTTTCAAAGTCAGTAAAGGAAGTGAAATTTGTAAGAAAGAGATGTTACAGTGTTAACATGTCAATATTTTATTTACTGGCTGATTTTCAGTCTCAGTTCAGTTGCTCAGTCGTATCCGACTCTTTGCGATCCCATGGACTGCAGCACACCAGGCCTCCCTGTCCATCACCAACTCCCAGGGTTTTCTCAAACTCATGTCCATTGAGTCGGTGATGCCATCCAACCATCTCATCCTCTGTTGTCCCCTTATCCTCCCACCTTCAATTTTTCCCAGCATCAGGGTCTTTTGAAATGAGCCAGTTCTTTGCATCAGGTGGCCAAAGTATTTTGGAGTTTCAGCTTCAGCATCAGTCCTTCCAGTGAATATTCAGGACTGATTTCCTTTGGGATTGACTGGTTGAATCTCCTTGCAGTCCAAGGGACTCTTCAAGAGTCTCTCTCCAACACCCTAAAAGCATCAATTTTTTGGCCTTCAGCTTTCTATATAGTCCAACTCTCACATCCATACATGACCACTGGAAAAACCATAACTTTGACTTGACGGACCTTTGTTGGCAAAGTAACGTCTGTTTTTAATATGCTGTCTAGGTTTGTCATAGCTTTTCTTCAAGGAGCCAAGCGTCTTTTAATTTCTTTCATGCCTGCAGTCATCATCTGCAGTGATTTTGGAGCCCTCAAAAATAAAGTCTGTCACTGTTTCCACTGTTTCCCTATCTATTTGCCATGAAGTGATGGGCCCAGATGCCATGATCTTAGTTTTCTGAATGTTGAGTTTTAGGTTAGCTTTTTCACTCTCCTCTTTCATGCTCATTAGGAGGCTCTTTAGCTGCTCTTCACTTTCTGCCATAAGGATGGTGCCATCTGCATATCTGAGGTTATTGATATTTCTCCTGGCAGTCTTGATTCCAGCATGTACTTCATCCAGTCCAGCATTTCTCTGATGTACTCTGCATATACGTTAAATAAACAGGATGACAGTATACGGCCTTGACATACTCCTTTCCTGATTTGGAACCAGTCTGTTGTCCATGTCCAGTTCTAACTGTTGCTTCTTGACCTGCATACAGATTTCTCAGAAGGCAGGTAAGGTGGTCTGGTATTCCCGTCTCTTGAAGCATTTTCCACAGTTTGTTGTGATCCACACAGTCAAAGGCTTTGGCATAGTCAATGAAGCAGAAGTAGATGTTTTTCTGGAACTGTCTTGCTTTTTTGATGATAGCGGATATTGGCCATTTGATCTCTGGTTCCTCTGCCTTTTCTAAATCTAGCTTGAATATCTGGAAGTTCACGGTTCATGTACTGTGGAAGCCTGGCATGGAGAATTTTGAGTGTTACTTTACTAGCGTGTGAGATGAGTGCAGTTGTACAGTAGTTTGCGCATTCATTGGCATTGCCTTTCTTTGGGATTGGAATGAAAACTGATCTTTTCCAGTCTTATGGCCACTACTGAGTTTTCCAAATTTGCTGACATGTTGAGTGCAGCACTTTCACATCATCAAAATAAAGGGCAGAAGGAAGAAACAGTAGAAGCCTTACTAACCCTTCATAGGTGCTCAATAAAATTGCTATTTAAGATGATAGCCAAAGAATAGTTTGGAGGCACTATGTGTCCAGGAATGAGGGACTAGAGTAAAGAGAGAGAGGGAGAGAGAAGGGGGAGAGAAAGAGGAGAGAGATTGGAGAGAGAGAGGGTGTGTGTGTGTATCTGGTGGTAGTAAATTGTAACAGGAAGAGGTTCCAGAGATGGAGCAGGTTGAATCCTAAAGTGGACCTTACCTTATTTGTAATTTTGCTTAGACCCTAAAGTCACTTGATACTTTTGATAGTGGCTTAGTTGGCACTGTGTATGTGGAAGGCTGTAAACCTGAGTTTTCTGTAGGCACTGTAGATTGTATATTTTTTTTGTTTGCTTTCCTCCTCTTTTTGTGTCTTTTATTCTCAGAAGATGTATTATATCTAATATTCATAGGTTTGATTTCTCAGTGAATATTGAAGGTCCTCAAAATGTTTCTAGATCTTGAGCAATATGTTGTAAATTTATATTTTTGGAAGTGGTAGACGTTGTCATTGTCTTGTATGTCTTACCTGTTTCTATGGTTGATTTTTATTAAAAGATAACACGAACATCTATTCAGCCTATGAACAGGATAGAATGAAGATTTACACCCAGGGTATTGTCTCCTGGATCTGCCTCCTGTCTCACATTGGGTCAGACTGGAATGGTTTCCCTAGAGGAATCAGATTTTAATATCAAGCCAAGTTCTCGTTCTCTTGGACCAGAGAGGCAGCAATAGCTTTCAGAGAGATGATGTTTATCTTTTTAAAATGTAGGTGGCTCATGAGACCTTCAGGAGAATCCAAAATTAATACTCTGGCATGTTGAGGTTGTAGCTACTAGTTATTACATAGATTTCATATTTTTATTAGTTTGAAAAACTTAGTGTGATATTGAAAACTGAAGTTTTCATATGGTGTGTCATTTATTATTAGTAGCAAATTGAAGTAGTTTTCCTTACATACATTACCAGTAAAAATGAAGCAGTCTCGACAGGGTGAAATATTTTGTGTGTCTTCTATGATTTATACTTTAATAGTTTTCACAGTTTCTCACCAACTTAACAGTTATTCCAAGATGAAAAAATTTTCTGTTTGCAAAATGATATGCCTTGTTAAAAAAACACAAAAAGCAAGCATCAAACATAATAATATGAAATCCTACCAGCTAGAGTAACAACTGATTAGTAGACATAAATCAGTAGACATAAACACCTGGAGATATAGATTCTTTGTTAGCTTTATATGTGAAAAATACCTTCTGGTTAGTGATTTACTTTTTTCTTGTGGTTGGTTACTTTTAATGAACAGAAACTGTTAATTTTAATATTAAATGTATGATGCAGGAGTCCAGTTTCATTCCCTGCTGCCTAAATGTGAAACACTGCATGCACCATATATTTTAAGATCAATATTTTCCCCTCCCTTTTTACCTGTTGTAAATCATGTTTCTGTTTATGGATTTTGTTTCATTTATCACTATATCTGTTTTTGTGCCAGTACACACTAATTCATAGTATCATATGGTTTTTCTTTATTTCTTAATTAAAAAAAAAATCCCCTCACTTTCTTTTCATTGAAGTATTTTGGCTGTTCTTGGTCATTTGTCCTTTTCTACAAATTTAGAACTAGTTTATTTACTTGCTCTCCCAAATCTGTGACATATTTATTCAATTGCATTGCATCAATTTTAGGGGAAAATTGCTATCTTTATGATAATGAGTTTTCAACATCTGAACATTCCATGACTTCTCTTTCCTATGTCTTCTTTTATGTCTTCCAGTAAAACTTCATACTTCTTTTCATGAAGATTTACCTATCTTCTCTTAGACCTGTAACTTAGAATAGGGTTTATCGGACAACAGCCCATGGGCCAAATCTGAATATCTCCTGTTTTTATAGTGTCTCTGAACTGAGAATGCCAGCTAAGAGTTATATAAATAGTTGGAAAAAATGAAATGAGGAGCAGTATTTAATGACATGTGAAAATTATATGAAATTGAAATTTTAGTGTCCATAAATAAAATTTTGTTGGAGCTGTAACCAAAGTGTGTAATATTCTTTAGATATGTGTGGGCAGAGAAAAAGGTTGCAAACTGTTGATACTTTGTTTTATACAATAATCAATATACCTGGTTTTGGTATTTCGCATTTGAGGATTTAACTTAATAAAATACAGCTTAATTTGCCTATTTGCTGATTTCCCCTTTTGTAGGAAATTAAGAGAGAGACGGAATCCAAGGATGACAGTTTGCCCATCAGGCGGGAAAGGCACGGGGCTGTAGCACATCTCATACAACGAATAAGCACCTATGGACTTCTACCTGGAGGAATTCAGCCACTTCCACAAACCAAAAACATTAAGAAGAGTATGTAAATAATTTTTTTCTAATTCATTTAAATCAAAATAGAAGTTTGTTTTATAATTAACTGTTCAGAAGTTGTATTAAGAAAAATTAACCTTTTGTAGCAGAAACTACAGAAACTTCCTACTTATTCTTCAGTTACTAGTTGTGGGCCCATGTCAGTTTTCATATGGTAATCCAGCATGGGCTGTCTATAGGAGTTGTAAATTAAGATGGAAGGCTTTGTTTTCTTGTTAGTCTTACAAGCTCTGTTGGATAGTTAATCCTTTGTCTTAAATTTACTTGAATATTATTTATTAAACATTAAATGGGATGCTAAAATGTCTGCTCATCCTTAAGCAGTATAGATGCAAACATTTGATAATACATTTTCTTTAGTGGTTAGACATCTGAACATGGATATTCAGTTTTCCAAGGTGGTTGGCCTAGCAGAGTGCCTTTGAAGTATTTGGTGTAAATATGTTGAGAGAAGGGTTTAATATAGAGGGAGAGTACCACGTTTAAAATCAGACATTAGTTTGAATCTGTCTTATGACCTTAGATCATTTAGATTCTTGAATTTTGTTTTACTGCTGGTGAAAAAGTGGTTTAAAAAAATAGAAAGACTAGTAATATTGCTGTTGTCAAAAACTTAGTCTTTGGAATGACTGTTACTCAAAGAAGTACTTCAAGCCTGGGAGCAGATAGTGTTTTAACATAGTAAACCTGAGGCCCCTTTAGAGATTGAATACTATGTTCAGTTTGATTTAATAAGTTATAAATGAGTATTTATTCACAGTTAGCTTTGATCGTTCTTTGTTTTAACACCGCCCCCCCCCCCCCCCCCCCCCGCCACTCCCCGCATCAGTCTCTCTGATGTTGGGGCCCCTTGTGTTTGATGTCGGTCACTACCTTGTGTACCAGATAGCCTATAACATAAAGGGATTTTGTTTATATACATTTCATAAGTATAAGATTATTTTTGATTTTTATAGTCTCATATCTTAAACCTGTTACTTTCTGCCTACTGTCTGTGAAGTCAGGGGAAATCCCTACTTTCTAGATTATATCACTCTTGATTATTTTCATAAAATAAAAACAGGTTTTCATGAAATGAACAGGTTTCGTGACACAGAGACAGACCAGTTCAAAGGTACTACCTGCTCTTCTTTTCTCGCTGTAAATGCAGTGTACAGACAGTACCTAGATACTGCCCGTGCTGCCTTCAGTCTTCTGCCCGAAGCTGGACTCTTCAGTAGTTCTCCTTGTCCTGGGCTCTGAAACTGTTTGGAGATTGGGGAATAGATAACAGAGTTATTTCCGCATCCTATACTTGAACCTCTACGTAGAATTTCTGTGCACAAGGAGACTTTTAGACCCATGAAGTAGTTACTTGTGCTCTCTGTCTGTTGTAAGATAAATGTACCACTTTCTTTAGCTCTACTGCGCTATAAAGGGACACACGTAGAGGCTAGACAGAGGACGTTGTTTATTTTGTCTTCTAGTAGGAAAGGACACCGAACTCTGCCTTCTTTGAGAACACTGTTCATAATTTTTCTGGTAAGAAGGAGAAACCATTATCCTGTTGGTTCCCAGAGGCTTAGGCTTTTTCCTCAGGTTCCTCCATAACTTGTTTTTAAGTGCATGTGCTGCAAAGACTAAATTAGTCACTTGGTGTGCTAAGTAACATTTAAAACAGGATGCAGGTTGTTTTTGCTTTCAGATTACTTTTCCAGGAAAAGCAGCTAATTTTTTTTAATCAGATTTTTTTTGTTACTGTTAGTTTGCATCATTTCCTTGGTTTATGAAATAGATCAGTTATTCAAAAGTGGTTCATTGTAATGTTAAATAGTAGTATATGCCCTTTTAATCAATACTGTTAATATTCAAAAAACCCAAACCATTGTGAAGGTTGGTAATGATAAACACCGTATTGTGAAGGTTCAGTTCAAATCTCTGCCAAGACCAGCAAATCTGCATGTGTGGTGAATTTTGTCTAAGCAACCACAAGGAAAAGTTCACATAGTTAATGTGATAGATATATGGAGACTGGACTTGTTAGCTATTTTTCTCTCCAAAGCCAAAAAGCGCTGGATTTTTTTTTTTTTTTTTTTTTGGTAAAGTCTGGTCATGATACCATTGAAACTTTTGCTATTGCATGTAAATTAAGCATCTTCTTTAGTAAGACAGTTATTTTTTAGATTGAGCACAGAAAATTTTCCAGGACAAAGTTGATTGTGAAAAGTTGCTAAAATTATAGAAAAGAACCAATTTATACTTTCATAGCAAAAACATGTACAAATGGCCTCACTGCTGAGACCCTTGTAAAATTGGGCACAGAGATAATGGTGTAGAATATTTTTACTTGGATTAAAGAATTGATGTCTTTCAGCATCACAATTGTATATAATGTGCAGTATGGAATATTAGTGGATATTCCACTTTATATTTGGAAAACCTTGATACCAGGTATGAATCTACTCATGCTGTGTTGTATTCCTTATTAGTGGGAATTCATGCTACAGAAGTCATTTTCCATCTAGTTATTTTGAATGCAAAAGATGCATTGAGATTGATATTGATAAATCATTGGTAGTTGTACAGAAAGAAATGATGATATTTTAAAAGTTGGTTGACCAGAATATAATCCATATAGTATTTCATTCTCAGAGAACGTTTGGTAACATGCCTCCCAATTTTGAGTCAGTACTGAAGAAGATAAATTTCTGAATCTCATCAAAGTTTTGGTCACTGATTATACATCTTTGCAGCATACATGTGAAAAGGAAGGGGCATATTAGTAGTTCAGGCTCTGCTATTTGACATTGAAATATTCTGACTTAGAAGGGGAATAAAACCTCATTCAAATGACTGCTCCCTGGCTGCAACCCCTCGAATGAATGGAGTAAGGTGTTGTGATTTTTTATTTTAAAATATTTAGTCTTACAGAGACGTTGAAATAATAATTGTCTGCTAAGCGTGGTATATTCTTCGCCTAAGCTTGCTTTGTTATATTGGCTTTGTTATATATCTGTTGAAAATATGTTGTTAGACTTGATACTTCATCCCTAAGTACATGAGTTTTTTCCTTCGTGATAATGATGATGGTAATGTTTTTTAAGATTTTGATGATCTTAAGTGTGTATCTCAGCAGTATAGCTAGAATCTTGAATAGCTTAAAATTTTCACTTATTGGCTTAATATGATTTTTTTATTGCTGAGGATAAGAAAAAAAATTTTAAAGATTCAGCTGTGTAGCAGATGGCTCAATCTTGATATTTCTTTACTTTTGATGATTACCTTTGCTTACTGGAGAAAGAAATTGATAATAAATTTTTTTTTACATTAGAAAATGCTGTGATAAAAGTTTGATGATTTATTTTCCAGAACTAAATGAAACTAAAATGGATCAGGAATCTTTTATTGCTATCTCTGAAATTTTGGCATTCAGCCTGCCAACTTCTGAGTATGATATGCTCTTCATTTAGCATTTGATGGGAAAAATTAAAACAGTGTTCTTAAATGAGAAATAATATAAGAAGAGAAATGAAAAATAATATAAGAAGTACTTAAGAACTCTGTTTGACCTGGATATTTAGATCTTTTTTTAAGAACCATGAAATACTTCCCATTTGTGATTACTACATTTGAGAATACAAAATATTTCTAAAAGGTTTTTCTGAAATTATTTGACATTATGTGATGAATACTGTAATACCTGTGGGTATGAAGACCATAAGAGCAATGTTAATGTGGACAGATTCAAATCTGCCAAATAAAAACTGGATATGGATAATGATTCAAAACTCACAATTTAACAGAGGAGAATACCAAGTTACTCTAACATAGGGATAATAGTAATAATTACCTTACAGGGTTTTCAAAGTATTAACATGTTAAGTAAATATTATAAGAAATGCTCTATAAATGTCTGTACTTGTTATTGCAGTATTTTATACTATTAAGAACCATACTTCTTGTTGTTGTTCAGTCACTAGGTCATGTCTGACTCTTTGCCACCCCATGAACTGCAGCACGCCAGGCTTCCGTCTTTCACTACTTCCCAGAATTTGCTTAGATTCATGTCCATTGAGTTGGTGATGCTATCTAACCATCTCATCCTCTGCTGCCCTCTTCTCCTTTTGCTTTCAATCTTTCCCAGCATCAGGATCTTTTCCAATGAGTTGGCTCTTTGCTTGATGTCTAGAAACATACATAATGTGCAGTTCAGATTCAAAGGGCAGTTCTATACCAGAGTCATCAAGTAAAGTGTCATTAAGCTCTTCTTTAGATAGGACATATCCACATAAAAATTGGAGAGTATGGTGTTGCAGTTAGAATTGCAGCCTTTGAAAGACCCATGAAGATAAACAAGTCCATGGTATTTTCAGAGACTAAGGATCCAGCATGACTAGAGTACGTGAGTTATGGTAAAGCACTCTAATCTGTAAAGAAAGCAGCCTGATACTGTGGGAAGGAGTTCCTATTTCTCCTTGATAAAATATGTCTTAGCAAGTTTTTATGCTGTTTTGTGTGGGAAGAATTTATGAAGGACTTGGAGTAATCCTTGCACATAAAAATTTGTCACTGCCTTTGTCGTTATACTTCTTTATTTGCTTTCTTATTAATAGCTTTACTTACAAAATACTGATTTAAAGAAATACTTGATCATTAATTTCTTTGTAGTTCTGAAAAGCTGTATGGAGGTTACTTAGGTTAAGAAAATACTACAGTTAAAAAATTGAATGCTACACATCCTTTTATTGACAGTTTTACTCTTAAATTTCATTTTCTTTTGTGCTTAGCAAAGGTTCTGATACATTTTAGAAATTCAGGAAATATTTATTGACCAATATGTATGGGTAGACATTGTATGTGCCACTTGAAATGTGAAGAATCTCCAAATTCCTGAAGTTGTGCTGCCAACTAATAGAAAAGTTCAGTATAGGCAGTCATTCTAACTTAAGAGTAAGCTGTGTAAAAATACGGAATCATACGAAAATATTTTCTTTTTAAAATAAATGACTCACATTTTGTGGTAGTGATAGGGCTATTTAGATATTTTTATCCAATGTGGATTTTCCTTTTAAAAATGAGAAGTTCCTTTGCAAATAATTTTGCATACTGTCTTGGAAACAAAATTGGAGAATTATGCTAGTGTGAAAGACAAGACAAAAACAAAGCTTTTGATTAAAATATCACTAGGTTGCTTGAAGTTAATTGATATATATGCTTAGGGGCAGAGGTGCTAATTAATACTCTTTATTAAATTTAAATTATTTAAAAGATACTGATATTCATTAAAAAGAATCAAGTTACATCTTTTGAAGTCCTACAGTATATGATCATTACTTTTCGGAATAAATAAAGCTTGTTTAAAAAGCTAAAGTGAAATTATTTTTGTCTTCACTTGTGTTTTTATCTCTCAGAAAATAGAATTATTAAATAAGATAAAACGCATTTTAGATTTGTGCATTTTATCTTTTTTATTTAAGTACAGATACTCTTGACTTAGTGCCTTTAAAGTATTTGTAGATTTTGATCAAGCAGTCTGAAAATCGCTGGTTTCAAGGACTTGTCTGTGATAAATTTTTTATGCCAATAGTGTCTTAAGCCTGTGTTTCTAGTTTTCAAATTGGCAGTGGAAAGTTTACTTTTGTATAATCAGTTGGATCTGATTTCATTTCTGAGAGCCTACCTTATTTGTAGTTGGCTTGAATTTATTTTAGGATGAAGGCATAGATTATAGTGTTGGGGGCAAGGTGGAAAGCCAGACGGCACAGATTATGGTTAGCTGTTCAGAATGCTTCCATGTTCTGTTTTTATTCATACATATAAATCCTATGACAATAAACACGGTATGTAAATAAAGGTGCTACTGTTTGTTTTAAAGATCTTTCTTTATTTTTTTTATGTGACTTCTTTTAGAGACCAAGAAGCGTCAGTGTAAAGTTCTCTTTGAATACATTCCACAAAATGAGGATGAACTGGAGCTTAAAGTGGGAGATATTATTGATATTAGTGAAGAGGTAAGGAAAACACATATTAGAGATAAAGCAGCAATTAGAATTGATGCTCTGGGTATTAGAAAAATGCTTTGTAAGAATATTTTTCAAATTTATTTTGCTAGTTTTTTTTTTTTTTTTATTTTAAGATACAGATTTTAAAGTGGATCTTTAATGACCTAAAGGAAGGTTGTTTAATTGTAGAAGTAAAGCTTTATTCATCCTTGCTATGCCTAATATTTGTGTACTGAATTTGTGTCTTTGACTTTAAAATAAAATAAGCTCTTTTTTAAGCTAAAATTTATGTAATCTAGGTAGCTAAGCATATAAACCTTTCTTTGATTCTTAATTCAACTTTAGGCAGAAGCCATAAAAATAGAAGGATTATTACCTGTTGCACAGCAGAGATGTATGCAAGCAGAATGTAAAAGCTTTGTTTTGTTTGAATTATCACATTCAAATATTAACCCCAAACACTTTGCCTCATTTTACGATCTTAGAATAAGATTTTTAGATATTTCAAAAATAGCTTTTCATATATCTACTTTTATCATTAAAGGAATATCATTTTTTTTAGCAGCTAAAGATGCCATTTTCAGAGTATATATTTTGATATCAAGTATTGCCACTGCAACTGATTTTGTCTGATAACATGTAATTTCTCACTAGTTTTTGTTAAATTCCATGTATTTATATAAGAGGCAGTTCTGGTTTACTTCTACCAGGTGGCAATAATAACAGTGTTCATCAGGCTCACATTATTCCTGACTCACCATTCTGAGTGTTTCAAGCTTATTATTTCCTTTAAGTTTATGAACAACCTAAGGAGATAGGAATTTTTATCCCCATTTTACAAACAAGAGATGGAGTCACAGCAGATACGGGATTGGCTTATCTCCTGTTGCAGCATTCCAAATTTTGTGGCAGAGAACACTGTTTTGTTAGGTTCGTCAGTTACAAGGGTCCAGAATTCAGATTGGATGGCTTGTTTCTGTTCTTTGGTTTATTATAAGATCTCATTGTGGAAGGGTTGCAAAGTGCTATTGATTAATTCAATCCACATACATTTAATCTACTTAAAATTTTTTTCCCTTTGTTTTTTCTTATAGATTTAAAGGGATTATTTTGCACCACTAACTTTGTGCCTGTTCATTTCTATCTCTCAATTTTTCTGTGGGGGAAGTGAAAACTTAAGAGAAACTATTATTATTTTTGAGTTGTGAATTCTTTCAGGTAGAAGAAGGCTGGTGGAGTGGAACCCTGAACAACAAGTTGGGACTGTTTCCCTCCAATTTTGTGAAAGAATTAGAGGTAACAGATGATGTTGAAACTCACGAAGCCCAGGAAGATTCAGGTAGACTATTTTAAAAATTTGAATGGATTTAAACAAATTTTGTATATGACTACTGTTTATTTTGTATATTTTTAGTCTCTCATCTTTTTGAACTATGAGCTTTAGTTTATCTATTTTTTAAAAAAGCAACTTATGACAAGGACTTAAAGTGAAATTGTTAGTCGCTCAGTCGTGTCTGACTCTTTGCAACCCCATGGACTGTAGCCCACCAGGCTCCTCTGTCCACGGCATTCTCCAGGCAAGAACACTGGAGTGGGTAGCCATTCCCTTCTAGGTAAATAATTTACTATTTTCCCCTCTGATGTCTGCTTCAACCCAAAGTAAACTTCATAGTACCCTTATTATGAAATGATACTGCTTAAGTTATCTGATTTCTTCCCACTTAAGGTCTACTTATATACAGTTGTGATCAGAGTTTGCAAATGGCCTGACTACTTAAGAAATATTAGAAGTTTAAAAGAATCTTCCTCGGATTTTCTGTATTCACATAGTAGATTTTGTTTTCCATGTGCAGCCAGAATGTCATTTAATTATTTTGTGATCTCTGTCATTTAGAGACTCTCCTATAAATTACTCTTAAATTTGCTCACCATTCAAAAGTATAATTGAAAAAGCTTTATCCCAAAACTTGGAATTACATCTGTGAACTGCTGAGGGATTTAGGAGAGATTTTTTTTTTTAAGAGACATTAAATTCATTAAGTGTTGGCATGGGGATAAGTAGATATTTTTCTTTATGGAAAAGTATATAGTGAAAATGTTCAGGGATTCACACTTGCACACTCGTGTTATTTGGCAGTTTTATAGTGGTTACATAGATTCATAGATAATGAGGTATAGACATACAATCTTAAGGTTGTTGGTATTGCTTTTTTTATTTCAAAGACAGTATAGTGTCAAGATACGAAGGCTGTTATTTTAGTCCATTAGAGCTGCTGTAACAAAATACCGCAGTCTAGGTAGCATAAAAACAAGAGATTTATTTCTCACAGTTCTGGAAGCTGGGAAGTCCAAGATCAAGGCTCCTCTCTGGTGCATAGTTGCTGACTTCTCACTGTCCTCACAAGTTGGAAGAGGCAGGGGAGCTGTCTGGAGCCTCTGCAAGGCACTAATCCCATTCCTGAGGGCTCTGCCCTCATGACCTAGTCACCTCTCTGAAGCCCCACCTCTTCACTTGGGGAGCTAGGATTTCAACATAGGAATGTTGCGGGGACAATTACTACTTTGCAAACTGTCCCCTGAATTACTTCGGGCACATATTGGCATGAAGTGTCATAGATATTGTATCTATTGATATTTATTTTTAACATTAAAATTTAGTGTGAATTAAAGTGTATAGTGAAATAGTCTTTATTATGCCATATAAACTGAGCCCTTAAAATATTGTATGAAATTCAAAGTCCATAAGGGATCAGTAGCAAAAGAAATTGAATTTAAATTTGGAAGTAGTTCATTACTTCATAATTATGAGTAGTTTGGGTATTTCCTTGCACTATTGAGCCTTATTTGAATTTTAGTAACCTTGCAGAATCATATCTGTTAAAAATGTACTTCCTTGCTTGCTTAACCCCTTTACAATAACAGTGCATTCTAAATGTGGAGCTTTGTGATTATGGGGTGGGAAGTCAGTGGTTGAAGTACACTGTAATTTCCCTTTTTTAAAAAACTCAAATTTTCAGGCAGAGAGATTTTGCATATTGATGTAAGTGCCAAGAAGTGAGCACTTTATAAGGTCTTTAGAACTTTAGTGAAGATGTGGTGTCCTTTGAGTTTTAATTTAAGCATTTGATATCTTACCCATTGGGTCTTAGAGAATTAATTGGTCCACTACTCCTGTGTCCTAATGAAATATAACATCTTTTGTGTTAACTGATGTTTTGACAGTCTTCTTTAGTCAGCAAAATAGCATCTATTTCAGATAGATGAATTACAGGAATTACCAACTGTACATTATAAAATGTGTTCTTTTTTTGTTTTGTTTATAGTATTGGAATGCCATGTCCACTGCATTTATTTTACATAGTTTCTTCTTACACTCCTTCTTCTTTTAATAGATAGAATGAAGTATATGGGATGTGTTCATGGTTTGACCAGTTAAACTCTGGCTATTACTGCCAAGAAGATAATTCTGACTCTAGACAGTAGGTAGACAGTATTACCTGAGCCTTTATGAGTAATTTATTTTCATGCCCTCTGTTTTCATTGAAGAACTGTGGAATAAAAGCTATAAGAAAGCCCCTTTTTATATTTTTTAATAGGAATATGGTAAATTTATAATCTATTACTTAGTGATTTCTGTATAAAAATCTCAAGATTAATATCTTTTTAGTAGTCAATTTCAGGAAAAGCTTTGCTTCTCTAGAGAAGTGTTATATTTCAGTTTTTATAATAAAGTGACTGCCCTTTTATTTTGTCAAATATTCTTAGTCTTTGTTGTTTAGAGTGTCCTTATGTTTTGCCTGTAAAACTGTCTTTTCATTTACTTTCACCCCTGTGAGAAATATGAGCAGTGATATGTGGGTTTGATGGCATTTCCCATGGATCCAGTGCATTCCCAAATCTGAAATTTAAAAGTTGAAGTGCGTAAAGGGAAGTTCTAAGTATGAATATTATTATTTAATTAAGTCAGCATGTATATATCTGTTCATTCAGTACATTGAGTGTCACTGAGCATGTTGTGTACGTTTACTGTCTCTTGTCTTGTGTCATCTTTGTAAAGGAGCGGTAAATTTTGACATACTCTTCTTAAGAAGCTGGTATACTATGATTTCCTGCATTTCTGATTGGCCTTTTACTAATTAGAAATATCTAAAATTGTTTTTAAATATAAAAAAAACCCAGTATAAATTGCTTAGGATATTTTGCTATTCAGCAATTTTATTTTTAATTCTACCTTTTTTTTATTAGGAGGTATAGGATATAAATACTATGGAAGTGGAATGTCAAGGTTTTTGTGATTTTAGGAGTCATTCTTTAAAAACCAATTATCCTTTCAGATACTGTTTTGACTGGGCCTACCTCACCTTTACCCCTCTCTCTGGGGAATGGGACTGAAACTGCACCTGGATCAGTTACCCAGCCAAAGAAAATTCGAGGAATTGGATTTGGAGATATTTTTAAAGAAGGCTCTGTGAAACTGAGAACAAGAACATCCAGTAGTGAAACAGAGGAGAAAAAACCAGAGAAGGTAGTAGTGATAAGCTTTCCTTAGATTAGCCCCCTTCATTCTCTAAGCATTTTTAAAAATGTAACAATTAGTTTACAACTCTGCTACCTTTTCTTTTTTGAGATTGCTAGTGATAGGTTATGAATGAAAAGAGTGTGAGAAACTTTTTCTAAGCTTAAGTGTCTTCCTTTAATGTTTACATTTGATTCTTATAAAATTGGATTGGGGGTAAATTTAACACAAACTTTTCTTAGTGGAAATTTTAAAGTTTTTAGTTATTATAGTATAAAAATATAAAAGGCAAAATACATTTTTGTTTTCCTTTTAAAGCTAAAATTATATGTTTTGCCTTCCAGTTTGAAGTAGCCCTAAAATGGGCCATTTTAAAGTGAATTCACAGTGAGATATTAAGTTAAATTAGGCCTTGCTTAATTTTTCTCTGGATTGTTAGTAGTGATGAAATCTAATCACTAGCCCTAGATGTATGGAGAACTTTATTTCTTACTAGCATTTCACTGGCATTGTGAAATAAAGAGAATGTACCATTTAATAAGAGATTTTAAAATAAATCATTAAGTTTTTACTTTGGGGGGGAAATAGCTACAGTCTTTAGGATGTTTATTTCAGGTCTGTTGTTTCTGGTGTTAACACCTTGGAGATTAGTTTGAGTGCTTACTTCAGGAGGCTCATCCCTTGACTTTTAAAGTATTGTTTCCCTTCTGGTTCTCCTTTGTTATGTCTTACTTAACTCATAATATTTGAAAGTGTTTTAGTATTTACTTGTGTTTTTTAGTTACATTTCACTATTAAGACTGTTTTGGTTGGTGAAATATATTCTGAAATTTTCTCCTAAAAGGGTTAGTTTCAACATTTTTTTCTTCCTTTCCCAGCCTGTTACATGTTTTCTTATATAATAATAAGTTAGGTTCGGGAAAGAGAGCTTGTACTTTCTCTTCTGCCTTTTCCTGGCTGTGTGACTGTCTGACATTAGGATTATGGACCTAATTCATTCTTGTTTTTTTTTTTTTTAATATGGAACTCTTCACGAATTTGTGTGTCATCCTTGCACAGGGGCCATGCTAATCTTCTCTGTATCGTTCCGATTTTAGTATATGTGCTGCCGAAGCGAGCACCATTCTTGGTTTTAAAGGTACAGATTAGAATTCTTGTTGGGATGGTGCTGTATAGTCCTGTAACAGCTAGGAGTGTCTAGAAGCAGTGTCTGCATTATGAGGGATATTAGGCTATATGATCTGAGGTCCCTTTCTAACTCTAAAGCATATGGTTATGTTGAATAACTTTATCTGATTATTGATTACACTGGTAAGCATTCCTTTGCCATTTTTTTTAAATAACTTTTTTTTTTTTTTAATTTCTGGCTGTGCTAGGTCTTCTCTGATGTGTGGGCTTTTCTCTGCTTGCAGTGAACAGAGGCTGCTCTCTAGCTGTGGTGCACAGGCTTCTCATTGCGGTGGCTTCTCTTGTTGTGGAGCACAGGCTCGAGGAGTGCAGGCTTCACAAGTTGTAACACATGGGCTCAGTAGTTCCAGCACACAGGCTTAGTTGCTCCATGGCATGTGGGATCTTCCCGGACCAGGGATTGAACCCGTATCCCCTGCATTGGCAGGCAGATCCTTCAACACCGAGTCACCAAGGAAGCCCCTCTTTTGCCATTGTTAATGTTCACTAAAGAGTTGTTGTAAGTGAGAGCACTCTCAGGATTACCATATAGGATGGCCTTCCAAAACTTGCTTTGATCACCGACCTAGGAATTGATAAAGTAGAGAGCACATTCACTGTGTTTGTAGGCAACCCCAGATTGGAAGATATAATGGAGAAAAGTTAGGAGAAATTAAAGTGAGTATTTTAAAAGATAAATAGAATACACAGTGATATTACCAGTTAGCAGTATGCTCAGGTTTTTAACTAATGAAATTTAAGGTCAAATGTAGTGTTACTTCTGAGGAGAGAACTTAAGGAAACACTGAGACATGATGAAAGGCTTACTGTGGTTGGTTACAATGGAAAATTGTCCACTAGACTGTATAGTTACAAGGTAACTAGTTACAAGTTAAAGTTGCAATTGTAGCATTACCAAAATGTTTTCATTCTGATAGCAGCATTGAAGTAAGTATAAAGACTTTCTTTTCTTTGTCTCATTGTAAGGAAGTTCAGTTATGTCCTTTAAGAGCACACCTTCTGGGGTGAACTTTCAAGATTCAAATCTGGGCTGCACTGCTAAATTATTTTTACTGTGGTCAAGTTATTTAACTGCTTTCTAACTTATAAAAAGTGTGACCGATAGTGCCTACTTTATTCTGATTGTTCCGAGGATTAAATTACAAGGCATGTAAAGCGCTTATTAGTTCAGAGATTGGTACATGGTACATTTTCAAATGCTGTTTTTATTTGTTTTGGAGGTTCTAAAATAAATCACAGCATTTTGGGTGTCGGAGTATATTTGTTATCCTTAAGACAGAGAGTTTTAAAACTGGAAGTTCTGGGCTGTCATTTAAATAGCTTTTCAGATATTTATCTGTTTCATGGCAAAGTTTTCAGTCGTATTACTAATCTGGCTATAAGTACTGTTAGGGAAAGCTCGATAACTGTTTATGGAAATGATGTTTAAGATTATTATCTTTGTTATAACTTAAAATAGGTGATATTATCCTTTCTGCTCTAGCCTTTAATCACACAGTCACTAGGATCCAAAACTCAGAGTGTGGAGATAACAAAAACAGACACTGAAGGTAAAATTAAAGGTAAGTTTTTTTTTTTTTAAATCTTTTTATTTTATTTATTTATTTATTTTTTATTTTTTATTTTTTTCCATTTATTTTTATTAGTTGGAGGCTAATTACTTTACAACATTGCAGTGGTTTTTGTCATACATTGAAATGAATTAGCCATGGATTTACATGTATTCCCCATCCCGGTCCCCCTCCAACCTCCCTCTCCACCCGATCCCTCTGGGTCTTCCCAGTGCACCAGGCCCGAGCACTTGTCTCATGCACCCAACCTGGGCTGGTGATCTGTTTCACTCTAGATAATATACATGTTTCGATGCTGTTCTCTTGAAACATCCCACCCTCGCCTTCTCCCAGAGTCCTCAAGTCTGTTCTATACATCTGAGTCTCTTTTTCTGTTTTGCATATAGGGTTATCGTTACCATCTTTCTAAATTCCATATATATGTGTTAGTATACTGTAATGGTCTTTATCTTTCTGGCTTACTTCGCTCTGTATAATGGGCTCCAGTTTCATCCATCTCATTAGAACTGATTCAAATGAATTCTTTTTAATGGCTGAGTAATATTCCATGGTGTATATGTACCACAGCTTCCTCATCCATTCGTCTGCTGATGGGCACCTAGGTTGCTTCCATGTCCTGGCTATGATAAACAGTGCTGCGATGAACATTGGGGTGCACGTGTCTCTTTCAGATCTGGTTTCCTCGGTGTGTATGCCCAGAAGTGGGATTGCTGGGTCATATGGCAGTTCTATTTCCAGCTTTTTAAGAAATCTCCACACTGTTTTCCATAGTGGCTGTACTAATTTGCATTCCCACCAACAGTGTAAGAGGGTTCCCTTTTCTCCACACCCTCTCTAGCATTTATTGCTTGTAGACTTTTGGAGAGCAGCCATCCTGACTGGCGTGTAATGGTACCTCACTGTGGTTTTGATTTGCATTTCTCTGATAATGAGTGATGTTGAGCATCTTTTCATGTGTTTTTTTGACATCTGTATGTCTTCTTTGGAGAAATGCCTGTTTAGTTCTTTGGCCCATTTTTTGATTGGGTCATTTATTTTTCTGGAGTTGAGCTGGAGGAGTTGCTTGTATATTTTTGAGATTAATCCTTTGTCTGTTGCTTCGTTTGCTATTATTTTCTCCCAATCTGAGGGCTGTCTTTTCACCTTGCTTATAGTTTCCTTTGTTGTGCAAAAGCTTTTAAGTTTCATTAGGTCCCATTTGTTTATTTTTGCTTTTGTTTCTAAAATTCTGGGATGTGGGTCATAGAGGATCCTGCTGTGATTTATGTCGGAGAGTGTTTTGCCTATGTTCTCCTCTTAGGAGTTTTATAGTTTCTGGTGTTACATTTAGATCTTTAATCCATTTTGAGTTTATTTTTGTGTATGGTGTTAGAAAGTGTTCTAGTTTCATTCTTTTACAGGTGGTTGACCAGTTTTCCCAGCACCACTTGTTAAAGAGGTTGTCTTTTTTCCATTGTATATCCTTGCCTCCTTTGTCGAAGATAAGGTGACCATAGGTTCGTGGATTTATCTCTGGGCTTTCTATTCTGTTCCATTGATCTATATTTCTGTCTTTGTGCCAGTACCATACTGTCTTGATGACTGTGGCTTTGTAGTATAGTCTGAAGTCAGGCAGGTTAATTCCTCCAGTTCCATTCTTCTTTCTCAAGATTACTTTGGCTATTCGAGGTTTATTGTATTTCCATACAAATTGTGAAATTATTTGTTCTAGTTCTGTGAAAAATACCGTTGGTAGTTTGATAGGGATTGCATTGATCTGTAGATTGCTTTGGGTAGTATAGCCATTTTGACAATATTGATTCTTCCAATCCATGAACATGGTATATTTCTCCATCTGTTTGTGTCCTCTTTGATTTCTTTCATCAGTGTTTTGTAGTTTTCTGTGTATAGGTCTTTTGTTTCTTTAGGTAGATACACTCGTAAGTATTTTATTCTTTTTGTTGAAATGGTGAATGGTATTGTTTCCTTCATTTCTCTTTCTGTTTTCTCATTGTTAGTGTATAGGAATGCAAGAGACTTTTGTGTGTTAACTTTATATCCTGCAACTTTACTGTGTTTGTTGATTAGCTCTAGTAATTTTCTGGTAGAGTCTTTAGGGTTTTCTATGTAGAGGATCATGTCATCTGCAAACAGAGTTTCACTTCTTCTTTTCCTATCTGGATTCCTTTTACTTCTTTTTCTGCCCTGATTGCTGTGGCCAACACTTCCAAAACTATGTTGAATAGTAGTGGTGAGAGTGGGCACCCTTGTCTTGTTCCTGATTTCAGGGGAAATGTTTTCAATTTTTCACCATTGAGGGTGATGCTTGCTGTGGGTTTGTCATATATAGCTTTTATTATGTTGAGGTATGTTCCTTCTATTCCTGCTTTCTGGAGAGTTTTAATCATAAATGGATGTTGAATTTTGTCAAAGGCTTTTTCTGCATCTATTGAGATAATCATATGGTTTTTATCTTTCAATTTGTTAATGTGGTGTATTACATTGATTGATTTGCGGATATTAAAGAATCCTTGCATTCCTGGGATAAAGCCCACTTGGTCATGGTGTATGATTTTTAATATGTTGTTGGATTCTGTTTGCTAGAATTTTGTTAAGGATTTTTGCATCTATGTTCATCAGTGATATTGGCCTGTAGTTTTCTTTTTTTGTGGCATCTTTGTCTGGTTTTGGAATTAGGGTGATGGTGGCCTCATAGAATGAGTTTGGAAGTTTACCTTCTTTAAAGGTAAGTTTTTGAATGAAATGTTTATGTTGAGTGAAGCATGCTCAAATATATTATTAGACTTGTTGAAGACACTTGTTACATTGTACTACTTCATCAGAGTATTAAATCCTCCTAGATGTGAACACCATGAGGTCAAAGAGTTTTGGATGTTTTGTTCATTGACGTATGGAGTATAGTTAGAAGTGTGCCTGGAACAGGTAGGCACATAGTAACTATTTGAATGAATGATTAATGAAACTTGTTATTTAATTTAACATGAAGTAAATTGGCTAAAATTATTGAAATCATCTAAAAGCTTCTAGTGTTCATTTCTTTAGACAAAATGGAGGCTTAATAAGTATTTGTTGAAAGAAGTGTAATTTATATATAAACTTTATTTATGTTTTTCATTTTAGCTAAGGAATACTGTAGAACACTATTTGCCTATGAAAGTACTAATGAAGACGAACTGACTTTTAAAGAGGGGGAGATAATACAGTTGATAAGTAAGGTAAGATACTTCTCAAGTTGTTTCCGTGAATAACTTAATTTATTCATAGAAATATTTTTTCAGTAGTCTTGCATTCATACTAGAAGGTAAGCTATGAAAGACCTGGGACTTTATCATGTTTATTTCTGTGACCTGAGAACCTGGCATATAGTAAGTGATCAGAAAGGTTTTTTTTAAGCAAATGTTTATTGTCTATTATTGTTATAATTGATGTACTGGAAATTATTTTTAACCCTCATGTTGTGGGGAAATATATTTTTTTAGTAGGATCTCAAAGTCTGCTTAAGGTCTTTATTTTTTCCTTATAAAATTAACAGAATTCAGTGTTTTCTTATGTTGTTGCTAACTTTTTTCTTATCTAGACATAACCACTATTATCTTTATTCTTCATTTTGCGGTTTAGGAAACTGGAGAAACTGGCTGGTGGAAGGGTGAATTGAATGGTAAAGAAGGTGTATTTCCAGACAATTTTGCTGTTCAGATAAATGAGCTGGATAAGGACTTTCCTGTAAGCTTTTCTTTTTCATTGATGATGATAAGTTAAAAAACCTATTGCCAGTATTTCTTAAACAAGTTTTTTACATAGTTACTGAGTACTTTTCCAGGAATTTCAGATTTATATAATCAGGTAAAAGTTACTTGAATTATGGTGCAACAAAACAATGTATCACTTCTGTGTTTTGTTCCTGTTTTTCTTTTCCTTTGACTAAAATTAACTTGGACTTTATTACTTTATTATGATTAAAAGAAAAAAGACTGGCTGTACTATTTAGACAAGTTAGCACTTAAGTCATGTTTAATTTTGTTGAAAATTTTTATTTTAAGGTACTGTTGGTTACTGTTACTTTATCACTGCATTTTTGGGACGGTGAGAAGGCTTTATTTAGCCTCCTTACAGGATTTAATGTATCCATCTCACTTCTCACAGTGAATAAAGTGAGATTGAGTCAATGATCTTTCACTTTTCTACAATTTGATCCCTTTTTTTCACCTATGGAGGGATTAATGAATTTTTAAACAAGAGGAAAATATTTACACAGAGAGCTGGCAAACCCTAGCAAGGCAGTCTGCCATATTTAATTTAAGCCAGTGCAGAAATCTCTAAACCTTTGCAGTCTTTTATTTAAAGTAAATTACAAAAGAATAATATGTGAAGGCTTACACTGTCTGAGATTCTTCCTTTGCTAAATTTCATTCATTATTGATTCAACAGGCTTCAGGTGTGCTTTATTTTTACACACTTCATATTTATACTCTTGTTAATGAACCCACTTTCTTTTTTTGGCTCTTATTAGATGTTCATGGAGTATTGATTATCAGTTATTTTTAATTTGGAAAAACCAAATTCACAAACTTAGAAATGTGTTTCAGGTTTTTTAAGGCAAAAATGAGTGAATGCTTGTAAACCCAAGAGAATTTTAATAAATTGAAAAATAGACCTTTGCCTTTATGTTCTTTTTGAGAGTCCTGAATAATCAAAAGTAAAAGCTCTATATATTTATTAGGTATTCCTCTTCTTTTAAAATAAAGTCTCTTTCTTTCCCTGCCAGGTGAAGAGAGGTAAAATGGTGTATAGGAATCTTAAAATAGGGGAAATAAGAAAGAATGTTTTTGCTCATCATTAAGATTTTTTAAGTTTATCTAAGTCCATGATAATTTTTGAAATATTTGAATTTTGATCAAGGAGGCATTTGTTCTAATAGGATAAATTTTTTGTCTGTGATCTTTTGTGGAGTTGTTTGGATCTTATCATTTTATAATTTCTAGCAGGTTTGGGGTAAGGAGAGGTATTTATGTAACTTAGTTTATTTATGATCAGAGTTTAACTGTAAATATTTAATATGTAAGTGTTTTACTATTTTCACAATTATTATTTTAATAGAAACCAAAGAAACCACCACCACCTGCTAAGGGTCCAAGTAAGTAAGAAATGGATTATTCAGTTTTCTCTTTTTTATATTTTTAAGTTCTAAAATGATGAAATTGGGTCTTCTGTAAATCATTTATTTTTCATTAGCAAAAATTAAATGCTATGACACTATATATAATTTTTAAAAATATATGAAAATTGACTGTTCATGTGTATTAATAGCTATCAGTATTTTTTAAAAGTGTAAACCGTATAAAATTGGGATTTTGAAAATAATTTGGATATTTTATGACATTTTGAGTTAAGAAAATTGACTAAACTTAAATCTTAAATATTTACCTAGCTGATAAGTTTTCAGATGCAGTCCATTTTTCAGTGTCACACCCAGGTACTGATTTATTTATATACTCTTCAAAGAGTGTTTAATGCTTAAGCAAACTGGAAGAGTTTTGTTTTTCCTTTTTAAACACTTGAATAAATGATGAGTACCTAAAAGTGTTTTCCAGAGTTAATGTTTTATAATCTGACTTTATTTCTTTAAGTTCTAACCCATAACTTCTGATTTTTAAATGTGCAGTCCAATTTTTTTTTTCTTGAAAGTTTTGCACTTTTTTTTTTTTGAGTAACACAAGTCCTTCCCTCCTCCATAGTTTCAGCTTTGTGTTTGCTAACCTTATCTCCAAGCAAGGATACTTTAAAGGTAATTTTTGTAGAAGCTGGCATTGGAGAGTTTTTAGCCCCTAGTCATACTGGGCTTTTAAAATTAATTAAAATTAAATAAAAATTAAAAGTTAATTGCACAGTTGCAGTAGCAGTGTTTCAGGTCTCAGTGGTCAGTATTGGACCATACCAAAACAGAGTATTTCCATCATTACAGAAAGTTCTGCTGAGCAGTGGTGTTGTAGCACGTGTGAACTCCTTCGCTTGATAGAGTAGGAACTGAGACCACAGTCCTGTCACTTACTCATGGTGATAGTGGCAGGTTCAGGATTGGATACAGAGTGATTGCAGTATAGTGTTCATTCTGTTAAACCGTGTTTTCATCGTACGTTATTTTTTCAACTTTTTGGTTTTTAGTAGTATAATTACCTTTGTGCTCTAAAACTATCTTTTTTTTAAAATATTAACTTTATTCCCCACTTTAGTTTCAAAGCCTGACCTGGGAGGTACCGAGAAGAAGTATTTTCCCACAAAGCCTGAGGAAAAAGGTGAGGTGATTTCCAGTATCAGAAAAACTAATTATTCTTTTCATTATCTGTGTAGAGAAAAATATATCTCCACATTGAGTCACTGACACTGATTTTTAACAGGTGTTCATTATGTATTATGAAATTCTTGGGGTTTTCTGGGAGGAAGTTTGGCCAGACCAATAGGTAATTAAGATTTTACTCAAACTGATACCAATTTCCATTCATGAAAAAGTTATACCATCACTTCAGTAAGGATGTAGCATTTAATCAGTTATTTCTAATAATGTGTAAGAAAACTAAACATTAAACAGTTATACTCTTATTTTTATAGTGTCCCAGTTGAAATCTATTAAAAATTTTTTTCTTAGGTGTAAGAGTGAGGTCTTACCTAAAATGTGGAAGTGATTTATTATGTATTGTTTGATTTTCACTGTGTATATTTATCATGTAAACTTGGAAAGGTATTCCAAGATAGCATATGTATTTTGTTGGAAAAAAAATGTTTTGTTACTGTTAATACCTACTTCTCCTTGTACACAAGATCTTCAGTGGTTGTATCTAGTAGAGAAGGTTATATATACTTGCAAAAAACTTGTCACTGTTGCAGAATGCTTTCCTATCTACTGCCAGTGTTGATTCTACTTCCTGTCCTTGTCTCTTGCTTAAAGTGTTAATGTATTCTCTTAATGATTTCTCTTATTTCAGTCCCTAGTCTGGCTTCTATTTCACATTGTTACCAGATTAACTTTTTAGTTTTTTTTTTTTTTTTAAATTTATTTAGAAGTTTCAGAAGCACAGCAGAGTTGAGCAGAAAGCACAGAGTTCCGTAACCTCCCTGCCCTAGGCATGCACGGCCTTCCCCTCTATCAGTGTACCCAGCAGTAGTTCACTTGTTAGGATCAGTGCACCTCTGCTGACCCAGCATCATCCAAAGTCCATAGTTTACATTGGGGGTCACCTCTGGCATTGTACATTTTATGAGTTTGGGCAAATGTATAATTATGCTATCATACAGAATAGCCACACCTCTTTAAAATTCCTCCGTGTTCTGTGCTTTTCATCCCTTCCTTCCCCCAACCCCTGACAGCTGCCCATCTTTTAATTTTCTCCCTAGTTTTGTGGTTTTCAGAGTATAGTTGGAATCATACACTACGTAGCTTTTACACATTGTCTTCACTTTGTAATGTTCATTTAGGGTTTATCGATGTCCTTTCATGGTTTAATAGCTCATTTCTTTTCAGTGTTGATTAATGTTCCAGTGTCTGGATGTACCACAGTTTATCCGTTCACCTACTGAAGTTGGTTTCAGGTTTTGGCAGTTAAGAATAATGCTGCTGTAACACTTGAGCAGCCTTTGTGTGTGTCCATAAGTTTTCAGTTCACTTGGGTGAATACCACGAGGTGTAATCACTTGTTCGTATGGTTTATGTTTAGTTTTGTAAGAAATCGTTAAAGTGTCTTCCAAAGTGTCTGCACCATTTTGCATTCCCACCAACAGTGAGTGAGAGTTCCTGTTGCTCCACATCCTGGGCCGAATGATCCCAGATTACATTTTTGGTATTATCTTCTACTTTATTCACTAAATGTAGCAACCACACTCTTGACTCTGAATGTCATACACCTTCATAGCTTTATCTCTTTCTCACCCTCTGGGCTCACCATGGAAAGTTTTTATATCTTCAACTCCCTCCTTTTCTTTTTTGCATTTGAGATTTTTAAATTTAGATGCAAAGATATTTCTTGATTGGTCTTGTGATATAGCTAGCTGTTGTTAGGTCCACATCTTGAATCAGTTTATTTTGGTACTTGGTTATAATATCTGTCCTACATGAAAAGTTCATCATACAAAGATATATAGAACCATCACACACACACACACAAATATAAGGTTTGTTACTAAATATTTTCATTATGTTATTTGTTTTGTAGTCCCCTTTATCAGGTAGGTAAGGGTTTTGTTAAAATAAGGTAGTGACTTTCTATATTTCCTGAAATCAATCAGTTGATCTTATAAACAAAATGGAAGGTAACACATTTTTATTATATTTATTTTTTCAAAATCTTTGTCATGAGGAAGTGACTGGGACTGAATTTGCCCTCCTGAGTTAGACAACTAGGAAGCTGGGTAAAATACATTTAACAGTGGTTTCAGACATTGGACAGCAGGTAACATAGGGCTGTTATCACTGAGAGAAGTTATCATTGAAACCAATGAGGCAAACCCTAACCCAGCTTATTGTTTAGAAGCAGTTTTCAGGCAGCAGAAAGAAAATGGTTTTACTTATATGTGAATGGAGTCCCTGAGGAAATAAGAGACGGGACAGAAAAAAAATATGTGAAGAAATAATGGTTGAAAATCTTTAGATTTGGAAGAAACTTGAAGCACACAAATCCAAGTTGCTCAGTGAACTCCAAGCAGAAAAAACAGAAGGGAAATCACCTTAGGGCACATCATAAGTTCTGTGAAAAGCAGTGATAGAGAGAAAAACATAAAGTCTGAAAGAAAATAGCTGGCAACTTTGAATTCTCTACCTAGCAAAAGTACTTTTCAGGCAGTAGAGGCAAAACTAAAACTTGGAGATAAAATCTGAGAGAATGCTTTGCCAGTAGATCTGTATGTACTACACAGGAACAGTTTAAAGAGGTTCTTTTTGGCAGAAGGAAAATGATCCTGTGTTGGCATTTGGATGTACACAGAGTAATGAAGAATGCCAGAAGTGGTAATTACGTGAACGAATAAAAAAGACCTTTCCCCCCTTATCTCTAAATGTTATCAAAACCACCAAAACTCTTCATTGAAAAAAATTTTAAAGCTTACTATGAAGTGTTGATTTCAAAGTTTAGGTGTATAAATGTAAGAAATTTTTAAATAAGTGAAAATACAAATACAACAAAGAAAGCAATTCTTAATATTTTGAAAATGTTCTCCTTAACCTGGCATGACTTTAATCTGGTGCAAGAAATAATAAGGTCAGTGCTTTAAAGCCTATTAACTAGCATTCAGGGAGAGCCAGTATCAATTCAGAGGGTCTGATTATTATAGACATAGATTACATTATTTCTTTAAAAAAATAAACATAAGTTTATGTCTCTTTCTTGTTCCAGAGTCAACAGAGAGAGCTTTTTCAAACCATAGCTAGGGCCACTTGGAGGAGCCTTAGCCTTCTGACAGGAGATACAGCATATTCCTCCAGTGTGTGTTCCTTACTTTTTATCTCTCTCTTGATTTCCATTTCACAGAGCATGTCCTTTGAAAAACCCTGCCTTATTGATAAGGATAAAAATGGAGCTACTAGAATACATGAAACAGATCACCATCTGACCTTTGACTCTTAGGTGACTCCCCATTATTTCATGGGGTACTTTTCCAGATCATAAGAATGGGGTTTACATCTTCCCTGCCCAAGCCTCAGCATGGGTTGTCTCAAACCTGCTTTGCAGCAGCATTCTCACTGTTTTCTCAGAGGTGCTGTGCTCATCACACGTGTTGTCCCTCAGGATAGTAATGATCCCAACACTCAGGAGCATGTGCTTTTCTCCTGCTTTGGGGGAAGACGTTCCTGGCATGGCTTTCAGTAGCCTGCTTCATTCTTACCAGAGTAGGAAAAAGTTACTCAAATTCACTACTCAGCAAGGAAATGTAATTTTATTTAAACCAAAGTAAGATTCTCACCAACATGAGTGAAACTTTTTAAAAAAGACTAGCAATACTAAACATTGATGAGGATCCAGATTATCAGAACACTCATACATTGTAGGTGGGAATGTAAATCGTTATGTCTACCCTTGAGAACTAAAGTTGACCCTGTTGTCCAGCACTTTTATTTTTAATTATATATTCACAGGAAATGTGTGTTCCATATGTACACCAAAAGACTCAAAGTTTATCATAGCATCATTTGCATTGAAATGCAAACGTTTGCTCTTTCAATTGGAAAGAGCACAGAATGTCTATCAGTAGTTGAATGGATAAATAAATTGAAGTACATTCGTGTGCCAGGATATAGTATAGCATGTGTGTGTTAGTCGTTCAGTCGTGTCTGACTCTGCAACCCCATGGACTGTAGCCCGCCAGGCTCCTCTGTCCATGGGATTCTTCAGGCAAGAATAGATAGCATAGCAGCAAATGAATACAGTAGAGTTTCACACAGCAGCATATTATGATTTCATTGGTGTAAACTTAAAATATTCGGAAGTGATCTATCGTGTTAGAAGACACCTTTGGATTGGAGCATTGAGGTATTGATTGGAAAGAGGAATGAAGAGAAGGAACTTAATGTGGCTCAGGCTTAGTTCTTGTCTGGAGCAGTGCTTACTCAGATGTGTTCCTGTGATGATAGCTCCTTGAACTTTGTACTTAGACTTCTGAAAATACATCACATTCCAGTTCAGGTCACTTCAGTGAGATAAATATGGGTATATATTTTTTTTGTCCTAAACTTTTCTAAAATGTTAGGAAAGTAGAATCAATTAAGGATATACTTCCTGCTTTTTGCAGAGTACTGTGTTTTTCTCTAAAGCATTTCCAAGTGACCACTGATAAAATATGGAACAAGAACTTATACGTATGTCATTATGTATATAACTATGCCTTTTTGGTGACAAAATTTTTATTAGCATGATGTGATATTGTTCTTAATTTTATTCCCCAGCATATTTTCTTAACTATCTCATAAAATTATTAAGTAAAATGGTACTAATGAAATTCCTAATAGAATGATAAGAACTATAAATAAAAGCCTGTCATTTTCTTATCTGCAACTAATCAATCTAGCCTCAGTTTTTCAAAAAAAATTTTTTTTGTCATCATGATTATTTTTAAATAAATATAAATTAAATGGCACTAGAGTTCCTACTCATTTTTAGTTCTCTATACTTCAGCTTTAGAAAGTGGACTGGATTTAAATCTAGGTAATGTTGTTTTCTGCTTAGAGTAAATTATACATGATTATATTGGAGTAGAATACCAACTCTAAAAGCAAAGGATGGTGGGAAGACAGTGAGAAGCAGGCATTATTTGTTAATCAGAAGATTATCAGTGGTCCCCCTTCCTACCAGGGTAGAGTTTTTTAAAATGACAGTTAAGTTTAAAGTGGCTCAGACAGTAAAGAATCTGCCTGCAATGCAGGCTACCCAGGTTCTATCCTTGAATTGGGAAGATCCCCTGGAGAAGGGAAAGGAATAGAAGGGCTACAGTCCATGGGGTCGCAAAGAGTCCTACATGACTGAGCGACTAACACTTCATAAATAGTTTAAAGTTATATTATAACTTTAAAACAGATAAAACAGTGTACACATACACGAATGGTGTCTTCTTTTTGTTTCACACCTTTCTAGTCTGACATTAGCTTTAAAAATAGTTCTGATGGTTAGTAACTTTCTAAATATTTTTAAATAATAGAAAAATCAGATGAAAAATCAATGCTGGAACAGAAACCTTCTAAACCAGCTGCTCCACAAGTCCCACCCAAGAAGCCTGTTCCACCTACCAAAGCCAATAATTTATTGAGAGCTGGAGCATTGTACCCAAAAAGACCTGAAAAACCGGTTCCTCCACCACCTCCTATAACCAAGTAGGTTTTATCTAACTTTAAATTAGTTTATTGATTTACTTGCTTTTGACATAATTTTGGTTCTACTGTCGTTTTAAATCCCAAAGTCATTTTTAAAGTCCTTGCTTCTCATCTTTTTCATATAGACTGTAATCTGTGTAAATGTTATTAATCTTAATGTTCACTCTAGGCAGATACACTTATGTTAAACTGTTTTATTTATATTTCTAAATTTATTATGATTGGTCTTAGGGTACAGGTTTATGTTTATGGAAATAATTTTATAGATGAAAAAGAAAAATCAGTATTGCACTATAACATCCATAGTGTCATTAAATCACAATGTTAAAAGATGGTCATGCTTCAGATACAAATGATTTTTGCATGTGTTTGATTCTTCTCATTTCAGGATTAATGGAGATGTTTCTACCAGTTCATCAAAATTTGAAGCTGAGCCAGTATCAAAACCAAAGCTAGATTCTGAACAGTTACCACTTAGACCAAAATCAGTAGACCTAGATTCATTTACAGTTAGAAGCTCTAAAGAAACAGGTAAGTTAACATGTGGAAAGATGGTACATAAAAAATAAAAAAGTGCAAATACAGTTTTCAGAAACTACTGAAAATAAGATTTGTGTATGGATATAGTAGAAATTAATTAAAATTTGTTTAAAATCTTTTAAGCAAAAATAGAAAATGAAACTGAAAGAATATAAATGGACAGAATATTTATGGTTCACATAAGCTTTCTCACTGGTCAGAGAACTGAGATTGGGTATTAAAAGATCAGCCATTTATCATTCTATCGCTTCATAGTGGAATGACCATACCACCTCACGGGCAGATATGAATGAACTAGACTTTCAGTGCCATGCTAGATTATATTTAAGAAGAATATTTTTCTTTTCCCACTGAAATCTGCAAATACTGTTGTTTCTAGTTCTGAAAAATAGACTTTTCATGACTCTCTATCTCTCTATATAGCAAGGTTTACTTCTTTAGCTAAATATTATTCCTTCAGTCTTAGGACTAATTTTTTAGCCTATTAATCCTCTTTGTCTCCTGGTCTTTTATACGTCTCAGTTATAAAAAGAAATACTGAGAGGTCATTTTCCTTTTTCTTTTAGCATCAGAGAAGTCTTGATAAAGGTCTCACTGTTAAAAGCATCACACAGTCAATACTTTGTGGTAATGGTTGTTTTGTAGCAGTTTACATTTGTTCTTTAGTTTTTTTTTTTTAACATTTTAGACACATTTTCTCATATATATTCTTAGGTTAACACTGACTTTAAGAGGCAGATGCCATTTCTCCCTATTTTGCATCTAAGCAAAGTAAGTTACAGTTATAGCAAATGTTCAAGATCACATAAACCAGAAGAGAATTCTTTAAATCCCCTTAAAGTTCTCTGGTATTTAATTTTTTTTTTTTTATGTCTTAATGTATTTTTTAGCTTCAGGTTAACATTTCTTTACAGTTAAACTTGAAGGCCAGTTACACTAAAATTTTTTTTATCACTGTATTGTAAAATGTGCTTCCTTTCTTATTTTTAAGGTGATTGTATTTTTCTTCTCTTTAGTTTGGGAGTATAAAAGTTCTGACTTCAGCATAGCCTCCTATAGTTTTTTAATTGGAATGTTTTATAGATCTTTCATCATGTATTTAGATCCTGCCTGATCTGGATGAAGTAATATTTATCAATAATTTCTGGAAATTGAGATGTTGATTGTATTTTAGAGACATTCACTCAAATATATTCAGTATGTTTTTGGTAAAAAATTGTTCTTATTTATTGGTAGTTAAATAAAAACAAAAATCATCTTTGTGTTTTTTAAGCAATCCTTTAATTTTTTAAAAACTGAAGTTAGTAGTAAAAAATCTAATTCTGTTAGTTCTTACTATTTTGTTTGATTTTAATGTAGCTAGAAATAGTTTTCAATACTAAAGAAAAAATTAAACACAAACTCTGGATATCAAAAATCCATTGTTATTATCTTTTGAATTTCCGCAATTTTCTTCAGTCTTTTATCACAGAAGTTCTGGATTTTAGTAAAAAGTCTCTTTGGTAGCTGAAATGGCAACCCACTCCAGTATTCTTGCCTGGAGAATCCTGTGGACGGAGAAGCCTGGTCCAGGTTACAGGCCATGGGGTCACAAAGAGTTGGACACAACTGAGTGATTTCACTTTCACTTGGTAGCTGAAAGTGTAATATTTAGAGCTTTTTTTTTCCTGCCTGTATTTTTTGTTACTTTTATCATTCTTTAACATTTGCTCTATTTCATTTCCTCACAGTCTTAGAAGTTACCAAAAAAATTTTATGTAAACTAAAACAAATTTCTCACTTTTCCCCCCATACCTTATCTGTATATGATCACTACCAAGCTTTATTTCCTTGACATGTGTGACTACTGGTGGTTGAAAAGTTCTATTTTTTTCCTTTGTTTTTTGGTCCCATTTCTTGTCTTATATCCATAACCATTATTTATTCTTCATTAAAAATTAGAGGGTTTGTGAAAAAAAAAAATTAGAGGCTTTGTGGAACAGGGTTTCAAATGTTCTGATTTCTAGTTAGCTTTTTTGTTGAAATGAATAAGTAATTTAGAGGTGCTAAGGCTTATAAATGGTCAATAAATGAATAGTTAACTTCCAAGCTGCAATCTTTGTATCTTCCACTATCACATTGCCTTTGGTGTATTGCACTGTGAAGTTCAGAAAATATAAACTTTGGAAATTGAGTTCATTTTAAGTAGCAAATATTTACTGAGCAGGTGTGTATTTGCAGTAGTGTTTTGGGCACAAGTAGTATGCTAAGGTAAAAGGCATTGCTGCTGACAGCAAGTAGCTTATGCTTCAAGCCTCAGATCAGAGGCTTCTTATTTCCTTTTTTTAATTTAAATTAACATATCATGTTCTTAGTACTTGTAGTATAAAATGTACCTGGTACTTGTTGTACCTCTTCTTCGAGATGTTGGCACCTTAAAAAAACACAGAACTGTGCTCTTTACCAGATACAGCCTCACATTTGGCCTTGCATTGAATGTGATTTAATTTACATACATGGCTCAGTGTGAAGTTTTAAATTTTTTAAATGACATGAAACTAGCGCTTTAACATAAGTTCCAGAAAGTCTGAAACATACATGAAAGTCTCCTTAGAATTTAATTATTTTGTAAAATAATACTTTGAGGTGAAATGATATAGTAGAATTTGCTGTTAAAAAATGTGGGTTTTAAATTACTAGTTGGTAGGTAATTGGCATGTTTCTCAGTTTTCTCACTTATCTAACAATCAAATGATCCCTTATATCTCTGATGTATCTACTCTTGTCTGTTAAGGATGTAAATTCCTTTCCCTACTCTCCAGTTTGATTTCCTTATATATAAAGCCATATGTAAACATATATGTTCATGTGTATAAATATTGAGTCTGACTTGTTCATATAAGAAAAACATTCCTAGAATACTTAATTTGTTTCAGTTTGTTAAAAAATTTCTTCATAAATATTCTCATATGATACAAGGTAGCACTATACATTACAGAGCTGTCAAAGCATGTTTTAATTTTTTTTTTCCTCTCTTTTTCCAACACTTCATCAAAAATTAGTTTAGGATAACCTTATTGCTACTACAGGTTAATTATAAAGTTCACATAATCTTAATATTTCTAAAATAGTAAGTTTTCCAGAAAGTATAATTGGTTTATAAAGTCTTAAACTTCCAAATAGAAAATTTAGTGGAAACAACTATTTCGCTGAGAAAGGACAATTGATGAAGTGTTCTTAGAGTGTAGTATTTTATTCTGTTTGATTATCTTTCTGTGATAAATTCTTCTTGCATTAAAAGAAATATTAGAAATACATACATTATTTGATCTGAAAGTCATCATTGTTAAGTAGAATGGTGTTCTTTCACTTCAGTTCTATTTAATAATTGATCTATTTTGTTTAATTTCTCAACATTTATTCAACTTATGGTGAGATTTTTCTAATATGATGTCTGCCTGTTGAGTGGTAGATGCTTTAAAAAGTGAACTTGCATCTAAGCTAGGATTCAAACCAAAAGAAAACACCGTATCCCAAAATGTAGAATTTACCTGGGAAATAAGGGCAGTAATTACAAATTTTTATTTTCTAATAATAATTTCCTTGATAGTATCATTATAGAGAGTATCACGTAAGGCACAGTTGAATTTTCACTAGTTTATGTGGGAGATTTTAAGTGTTATGTTGAGTTGTATTTTTATGGTGAGAGATTTAAAAATAATATTTGGCTTTTTCCCTATTATACCAGAATTAGAACTGCCTGTCTTATTGTAACTACTGTCATGTGTTGAGGACTAAAACTTGACTACAAGGTGGTTTAATTTCAGTTGCAACTGTATCAATGAGTTGTTAATATGTGGATTTATTTACTCTGACCTCTAGTTTTAGCACTAAAACATCCTTTTAGAAATTGTTGTGGTGTTGTGAGTAATTTTTAAAAAGGCTTCTTTCTAGTTTAATGTATGTTGAAATTAATACTAATCATAGTTTCTCCTTATGAAACACAAAAGAATAAATCTAAAACCTAATACACATCTTAATGTAAGTTTAGATAAACTGCAATATCTGCTAAACATGAAATGGTTCTATTCATTTACGACTGTTCCTTTTTCCTGCTTTGTAAAATAATTTTTTTGGTTTAGTCTTTTTTCTAGACATTCCTATCCTTGGCTTTTCTTTCCAGATTTTGTTTCCTAGCCTGTTTGCCATGTTTCCCTTCTTACGTGTCAGGAAATTATCCTACCTTTCTCCATTTTGGTAAGATGACAATTTATAAAAGAAATCAAAATAATATATTCAGTATAAATAGGTGGTGCACATTGAGTTTTCTTTGTGATTTTACTAAAGTGTACATGTTTGTCTGTCTATTCTAACCCTTTTGGTTTTCCATTTTAAAATAAAATAAAATTCATATTGGAAATTTTTTCTTGATTAGTTAGTTTAAAATATTCTTTTGATAAAAGTTTTTTTTTTAATTGACAACCATGCAGTTTATTTTCTTCCCAAATTTTATATTTCATTTTGATTTTAAAAAATTCAGTGTCTTTGGCAATGTGTAAAAGTGTATATGGCAGGCAGAGGGGCCGTGTGATGGCAGGAGTTAAGTGACTGTCATGCCTTTTATGCCATGTGTAAAGTATAAATTCACTGATACCACTCTTAGATAAAATTAAAAGCATTCAAACATATCATGAGTCAGAAATGTGCACTATTTCATTTTACTAACCCAGTGACTTAAATGGAGGACCTGAGAGAGTATTAGAATAGTAAAATTACTTGTCTTGGTGTTGTGGCCCAAAATTGGACCATATAGAAGGCATTTTACATGAGCATGATATATAATTTTGTAAATCTTACTTTCATTTACCTTTTTAATTTCATTTATCTTCATCTTGTGCTTTTATTTCTTTTTCTTTTTGCATGTTGCTTAAATATGCATTTGAAAATAATCTCCATAGGCAAAAATTACCATTGTGCTTTTCAAGATTTTTTTGTAGGTTGTCAATGTGTATTTGTCAGTTTAAAAAACAATTTCTAACCTTTCAAACTATAGCATATTTTTAACACCTTTTAAAATACTGTTTCCTTCGTTTATGCAGTAATTAACAAATGAGATATTTAGCTATATATTTAAACTCAAGATCTCTCACATTATATAATGCATTTTCCATTAAAGCCACTGTGTTTCTTATTATGCTTTGGTGTATATTATAATTATTTATGGACACTTACTGAACAGTTAAAAACAGAAATCAAACCAAGCATATTAGATTGCCTGTTGTGATACATTAGCCTAGTGACTAGATCCAAGATAGAACGCATAAAGCAACCCCAGAACATGAAGATGGAAAAGAATTAACAGAGGTCAACAAATACTTAGAGTTGTTATAGAATGCATATTGCCAAGTAGTAGTAACCTCTTCCTGTTTTACCTTTGTGTCTTCCATCCCTTTAAAAAAAATTCTCTAAATTATTTAGAATATGAAAATTGATTAAGTTTTAAGGGCAGTAATGATAACTATCTTTGGAACTCTTTTAAGAAATAACAGTTCTCTGACTTTGTGCATCTAAATATTTGACAGGAAGCATTTTAAACTTCCAGGCAATGGCAGTGTGAAGAATGATTCCATACTTGGAAGACAAGGCAAAAGATGCCTGCTGCCGAAATAAGTGATGGCGTATTGGCTGCGATTAATATTCTTTGTTTGGAATCTGGGCCAGAGGGAGATTTTAATAATAGTGGAAGTGTCCGGAATTAACCTTAGGGTTCTTATACCACTTATAGATATTTGGGATTCAAAATTAAAGATCAGCTCCTTCAGCAAGGTTTTCTGGACCATCTAGCAAAAGGGAAGGTATTATATACCATTGTTTCAGAATCAAATTAACCTAGATTTGTCAAACTCAAGATACTGAACGAAAGGTCAACCAGCCTTTGGTGATGGGAAAGTACATGGATGATGTATGTAGCATTTTCCCTTGCTGTTCGAATCTGCCTTAGATTTATGACTGTTGTCTGATTCCTACACATGGATACTGTCTGAACAGAAGTGCAGTGAAGTATAAACAGGTCGAGGCCCAGCTACAGTATACTGTACACATAACATGTAAAAAGATATTAAACTTTATCTTTACCTTAAGAAATGTAGTTGGAAAGCAGCAGGGTTTCAGATAAAATTGAGTTTTTAAAATTTTGATATTAGGATATTACTTGAACTTTAATACACATTCCATGAGTTAATTTTTTGATATGTTGTCATTCTGAGTTGAAGTCGATTTTTTTTTCTAAGTAAGAAAGTAGGAAGACTGGCTTTTTCATACTACCGGCTTCCCTGGTGGCTCAGACCGTAAAGAATCTGCTGGCAGTGCAGGAGACCTGGATTCAATCCTTGGGTCAGGAAGATCCCCTGGAGTAGGAAATGGCAATCCACTCCAGTATACTTGCCTGGAAAATTCCGTGGACTGAGGAGCCTGCCAGGCTACAGTCCACAGGGTCACAAAGAGTCGGACACGACTGAGCAGCTCACACACACACAGCTTATGGTACAGATTTATATCTTTCAGTAAGAACTTTGTTGAGGTCTAAGTCTCTATTGAAGACATGAACTTTATATTGTTGATATATAAAATGTATCAGGTAAAGAGGATGTTAGTGTTTGAGGGTGAGTGTTGTTTTCCAAATGCATATGAAAAGCACAGGTCAGCCTGTGAGTCTTAGTGGTACTTTTTCTGATTTTATAGTTTGTTGAAAATACAGAGACATTCTTTTTTACCTTTTAAAATGTGCCGTTATCGCTTAATAGATATGTTTACTTTTATTCTCCAGATCTTGTAAATTTTGATGACATAGCTTCCTCAGAAAACTTACTACATCTCACTGCAAATAGACCGAAGATGCCTGGAAGAAGACTGCCTGGCCGCTTCAATGGCGGACATTCTGTGAGTTACATTTGCTGTTGTGAAGCGCAGACCATTTAGCAAATCCAGAGTCCTTCTAAGATAAGAAAGAGGGGGCATTTATAGTTCCACTGAAGTTTAAAAAATCAGAGCGAGCTATATGTAAGTGGCCAAGGGTTGTATTTTAAGAAATATGGGGAAAGAGACCTGTTCATTTCCACAGAATGTGGAATGGAAGATTACAGAATCAGAAATGGAGTTGTCCTAAGACCATAACCATAGAGCAGTGTCGAAAGGAGACAGGGGACCTGTGTAATCTACTTGTCCAACAGCAGTCAGTAGAATTGCGTGGTACATGTTCACTTCAGGAAAAAATGAGAGCATTCCCCACCCCCTAGAACTTCTTTTTATTCTTTCTGTACATCTCCTGGGATACTGGTAGTACTTTAAGTGTTAATGTATTACCTCTTAAGCATTCTTTAAGTTAACGTAAGTAGAGAAAATTTTTGTTGTTAATAGACAAGCTGTTTTTCCATGCTTACGTTATGCAACTATGTTATTCAGCATGAAATTATGTAACATCCTGTTAACAACAACGGGATACCTGGAACAGTAGCTGCTGAAAACAGTGATAAAAGTTGCTTACTTTATTATCCAGATGCCTACTACCTTTTCTTTCTTTGGTGTTTTCTGTTTCTTGATTAAAAAAAAAATCATTTAGCCGACTCACAGCCCAGAAAAAACCTTGAAGTTACCAAAAGAAGATGACAGTGCCAACCTAAAGCCATCTGAACACAAGAAGGATTCTTGCTACTCTCCAAAGGTGAGGTGCATTGTGGCATAAGATTTGTATAATTTGTAGCATTCTTTCTGAACATCAGAATTACGGGGTTTAAAAGTGTCTGTCAGGAAGGATTATTTCTTAAGCCAAGAAATAATGCCTACTAAAACTAAGTAAAATGATTACTGTTAAATTGAAGTTGCATTGTTCTCTGTAGATCTCTTTTTAGGAGGGTTACATTATTTTAAATGTAGCACAAATGCTACATGTTTCATAATTTTTAAGGCATAGATCTATACATTTGTTTCATTTGCCATTAAAACATGCCCTGTTGGGCAGAAGCCAACAGTTCTTTACTCCTTATATCATAGTGAGCTTGACACCATAATAAGCACTGAATGCACATGGGAATGAATGGTAGAATCACTTGGATTCTTCCATCTGTTACATGGTGTTGAGGGCCCTTTCTAGACCCTTGCCATTTAATTTAAGATAGTATTACAACAACTGACACACATCTTATGTTTGAGAAGATTATTCCTGTTCCTCATATTCAGTGCAGGGCATCTGACTGTCATTTAGATTATCGGATACACTTAATCTGATTCTCTCAGCTGACAGCAGTCTGTCGAAATTTTATCAATACCTGGTGTTACCTAAGTGAAATAGGAAAAGGGTATCAGGCCATGGATTCATTTTAATGCCTCTTTGGGCTTACTGCATTTTTTTTTTTTTTCATTCTTTGTAGTTGCTTTTCGTTTGTGCTCTTTGGATATTCTAAACAGTAACTGTTTAATATGAAGGATCAAAGTAGTATCTTAATAATGCCTTTATATTCTTGCTTCTAGATGCTCCACTCGGCAACCATAAGATAAATCTGATGGATTTTTTTTCTTAAATGAAACCTTTGACATTTCTCAGAAAAACCCTTAGTAATTACAGGTTTATTTGGTCATTTAGTGGTTTTTTCCAGTTGTGAACATCAGGCTGCTTTTTTGGATTTTCAAGTTTATCATTTATCTTGGAAGTATTACTTTAGTTATTTATCTCCTTGTGGTAAAAAAAAATCTTTTGAACTTATTAAATAGAAATACAGATAAAATAAAAATTTTCTGTTTATTATGTTTTCAGCCGCCTGCGCACCTTCCAACACCTTCAAGTACTTCTAAACCAAATACAGCTACTTTTCTAACTCCATTAGAAATCAAAGCTAAGGTCGAAGCAGAAAATTCCTTGGATGAACTTAAAGCTCAGATTGTTGAATTGCTGTGCGTTGTGGAAGCACTGAGAAAGGACCATGGGTAAGTGGCCCTGTGTTCTTTCACTAAAGAACGTAAAGACGTTTCTGGTGTGAGCAAGTTTGTTTTCAAAGAAGTTTAATAGTGTCTCTCCTCTTGGCAAAAAGCTTGAATTAGAAAACAGAATAATTAGAAACTCAGTTACTAATTCTAATTATTCCAATTAGGAATTGTAAAGCTTGAATAAGAAAACCTAGCCTGATTATGAAAAAGGCAAACCAGTGGAAACAGGAAGTAGTAGCTTGATTAGACTGGGTTCCAGCAGTTTGATTACAGGAAAGTGGCCACTAGGCACACGACAAGATGTTCAGCACCACTGGCCATCGGCACACGCACATCACAGTCACAGTGAGATAGCATTTCATGCCCACTCAGATGGCCTAATAAAAACTATGAGCCATAACAAGCGTTTGCAAGGATGTGGGAAATTGGAATCCTCATGCATTGCGAGTGGGCATGTAAAATGGTACAGCCACTCTGGAAAACAGCCTGACAGTTACTCAGAAAGTTAACTGTCATGTTCCCATATGATCCAGCAATTCCTCTCCAAGGTATAATGCTGTCCAAGAGAATTGAAGACAAGTGTTCAAACAAAAACTTGTACAAAAATCGTATGTAGTGTTATTCATAATAGCCAAAAAGTGCAAACAACCTAAATGTCCATCAGTTGATGAATGAGGAAACAGCGTGTGGTACAGCCATACAGTGGGATACCTGACTACAGCCATAAAAAGAAGTGAAGTAGTAATACATGTTATAGTATAGATAAACCTGAAAAATATAATTTGAGGCTAGAAATGTCAAACACAGGGGTTAATTAGTCTTAAAAGTATTAGCAAATAAGATTCATCTTATTTTGGATCTGAGATGTGTCTGCATGTATATTTGGTTTTCTTCTCAGAGGACTTTGCTCACTTTTTGCTAGGGTTGAGTTGGGTATTTATAAAATAAATGGGTTGGGCCATGTTACATTTTTTATGCCAAGTGTGCTGTTAAGAACTAAGAAATACATGTACAGATTGCCTGTGGATGCTCTTAAATAAGCTGTAGAATGAATAAAAATACTAATGACCTATAGTTTAAAGCATATATATCAGATCTTTTAGAAGTCTTTCCAAAGACTTTTAAAAGTCTTGAATTCCTCTTGGAAAATGAAATCGAAGGAAAAATGACTACATAAAAAGACAGAAGCCTAGAAAAATGAAAACATGAGTTATAGGAGAGGAATTGCTGGCTGAAGCTTTTTGTTATTGGTTTGAATTTTGGATTTTAATGTAATATTTAAGTTTAAAAAAGAGAAAGATATATGTAAAGTTCAGGTTTATTATATTAAAAACTATAGTTTGTTTTGCCCCGTGACATATTTTGACATTCATTTTACCACCTTATTTGAGCTGTGTCCTGTCTTGGAAATGGATGATAACTGAATATGGAAAATTAACCTGTATTCGCTTAAAAACTTGTTCTCTCAGGTTTTCCCTCCTTTTGCTGTGTTTTTAACTGTCACTTTGAATTGTTTCATCTAGAGAATTGGAGGTTTTTCTAATCAACATGGTTGTTTCCTTTGCAAAATTTTTCTTATGTTCTGGAATATCAGCCAACAGATTTGTTTGCCTTACTCAAATACATTTATTAATCGAAAGACTTAACAGCAATAAATAACTTTGTTTTTAGGAAAGAACTGGATAAACTACGAAAAGATTTGGAAGAAGAGAAGGAAATGAGAAGTAATCTCGAGGTAATTCATCTCTTCCAGCATTGAGATTGTAGTCAGCATAAACTAGACATGTTTTTTCCAACCCAACTGGGCGATTGGTTCCACCACAAATTATGCTATCTTGCTTTGGTTGGACACTCCCTACCATGGGTCACCATTTAATTAATCTCTTGCTGACTCCCTGCCGCATTCCATTCATTCATTCAGCAAATGTTTTTGAGTGTTCTCTCTTGTCGGCGTGAGGCACAGGGGATACACTCCTGAATAAAGCAGACATTGTTCTTGTCTCTCAAAAGTGTCTGGTTCTAGATCTTTTGCGCTCTGTTTCTCTCTTGACCTGTAGTTTTCTTCACAGTTAAACTTGTTTTTCCTTTTTTTGCTTGGGGGCAGGGGTAGTGGTAGTGGCAATGAAATGGCTTTAGATTTGCTGACTTCGATTTCTCACTGAATTAATTTTACTTTACAGCTAACATGTCATCATCTTCACTCTGCTGATGACTGACAGTTTCACTAATTTGTCTTCATTTTTTCCCATCCTCACTGACTTCTGTCTTCATCTGTGTTTTTGTGTTTGAGTGTTTTTTCCTGCATGACAGCTGTTTCCTCCTTTTCTTAAGAGGCTCTTCCCAGTTTGTAGTTAAGTCTCGCGCACTCCTCCCTGTTTCACCTTGCCTTCTTATTGACCTGTTTCTTTTTGCTCTCACTGTGGAACAGCAAGCACAGAACGTGTTCAAAACACTGGAGCTCCTCTGACGTAGCCTTGTGACTTTCAGTTCAGAACTGAGCCTATGTCAGACTTAGCACTTCCTGAGCATTGTCTCATTGGACACATAATAACTTGTAAGCATCATTGTTCCTATTTTAAGAGTGAGGAAACTAGGGCTTAGAATGATTAAGTCAGCAGTGGAGCTAACATTTTTTAACAGAAGCAGCCAGACTCCAGAACCTTTGCCCTTAGGTATTAAGTTTCACAGCTTGAATGAGGAAGTCACTTACCTGGTTTAGCTTTACTTGTTGAGATATATACCTGAAGGTATTTGGCAGAGTATCAAAACTCCATTTTTATTCTTTTTATCTGACAGGTACCCTTTATTGGTACGCTGCTTTCTTTGCCTGAAAATACTCAATTTTCCTCTTTATTCAAAAATAAAAAGCCCCCCTTTAGGTCTTGCTACCCTCTTGATCTGTAGTTTTCTCTTTTCATTCGTGATTCATTTGTTCCAAGACCAGCAAAAGCACAAGAAAAGCATACATTTGCAGTCACTGATTCTTCACTTTTAATTCAGTCCTCAACCTTTTGCATTTTTGCTTTCTAATGACAACTCCTATGTCTCTTCAGTTTCTCCAGCACTTCACGTTTCTCCTTTTCAAAGTGTGTTCTGGTTTCTGTGACCCTGCATTCTTCTGTCCGACTTCTCATCCCGCCTCACCTAAGTGAGGTGCTCCTGCAGTGCTGTCCTCAGCCCTCCTCTCCGTGTATACACGGTGCTCACCTGTGCCCAGGAGACTGCGATCAGCTGTGGTGCATCTTCCACTCAAGTCAAGTTCTTCTTTACCCAGCTTCTCTCTTGTGTTTCCAGCTGGTCATCTTCCTGAATGTTCCACGTAGCATGTCCATTACCCGTAATACGTTCTATTCAGATTCTGATTTTCTGTTTGTGTTGAAAGTTTGTTTCCCTTCTAGTCATGCAGACGTGAGACTCCTGTCTTTTCTAATCCCACTCACTTTTCAGGTCTCCTGGCTTTCCTCCCAAACCTTTTTCTCCATCCCTGTTCTTTCTGTCCATTTCTCATGCTCTTATCTTCCATTCAGTTTGTTTCTCTCATTCTTATCTTGGCTGTCCTCACTCAGTGTTTTTGAGAACTTCTGTTACTTGCTGAATGAAATTCAAGCTTATTGACTTGGTATATGAAGTCTTTTATGTCCCAATCCTGGTTTATCTTTCTTTTCTCACTTCCCTCTTATCCCCAATTGTCCTTTACAGTTATTATTTTTGGCCATGCTGTGCGGTGTGTGGGATCTTAGTTCCCTGACCAGGGAGTGAACCCTCACTTCTGTGCAGTGGAAATGCAGAGTCTTAACCACTGGACTACCAGGAAGGTCCCTGGTCTGAACTTTTGCTCCTACTGGATGGGTTTCCCTTTTGTCTCATCTTCTCATGCCCAAGTTCTGTAGATTCTCAAGGCCCTGCTCAAACAATGACATTCATTGAGTTGGCCACCAGTCTTCTGATTAAAAGCAGTTTTTCTTATTTCAAATTCATGTTTAGTTTTATAGGAGATGAATAAGTAATAATTTTCTATCTTATTGCTATTTATGTTATATACTTATTTTGCCCACTTCTGTACTGTTGGAGGTGGGATCTTTTTTTGTTTCATCTTTGCCCATAGCTTTTTAGTACAGTGCTGTATACATATTAGATTGCTGACAAATTTTTGTCACACTAATAAATGGTAGGAGATACATATTATCTTCTAAATGTATGTTAACTTCCCAGTGTAAAGCATGGTAGACATTGAAAAAAATTTTTTGAATGTTTCTTGACTTTTGTTCCTTATATTTTTATACATAGCATTGTTAATATATGGAAATAAGGTATTAATGTTAGAAAGAGGAACTAATAATGCTAAATTTATATATATGATTTAATTTGTCATAAAAATTATGAGAAGTCAGATGAATTATTTGTTTCTTATTTTGAAGAATTTCATCTAATTTTTGTTTTCCAGGAAAATCAGCTGTTACTTAGCTTCTTACTGACCTGTGTTATAAATTTTTTTTAAATGGGAAAAATTTGACCCTTGTATTTGCAAAAGTATACTTAATAAAGGCAATAGAGTTTTAGGATCATAGTTTTACAGGAGAAACTATATTTTCCTCCAAATTAAAAATAATACTTTGAGCTACTATAGCATTAACATTTGTTGTTGTTCAGTTGCTAAGTTATGTCCGATTCTTTTGTGACCCCCATGGACTGTAGCCCGGCAGGCTCCTCTGTTGGTGGGATTTCCCAGGCAAGGTGGGATTTCCCAGGCAAGAATACTGGAGTGGGTTGCCATTTCCTTCTCCAGGGGATCTTCCGGACCCAAGGATTGAACCCACATCTCCTGCATAGATAGGCAGGCAGATTCTTTACCACTGAGCTACCAGGGAGGCCCTAACATTAACATCAGATAGTATTAAATTATACTGCGAAGTCATACAAAAAACTAGTGATGAACGATGAACATAAACATGCTAAAAGAGAAACTCTAGCTGAAGGTTGAGGGTATTTTGTCTCAATCCAATGTTGCTAACATGTTTAGCTAATAATCGTCTTAGTCAAAGAATAATACCAGGAAATATCCTGGAATAAGCAAACTGTTCTTGAATGGTTAGGATCCCTTAGGAGATGGTGAGCTTATCGAAATTATGCTTTCTGACAGTTGCAAAATGCTCAATATTCGGTAATGAACTATTTGTCAGAAGTTAGCCATAACATGCGTTATTTGTATGCCTTATCGAGGAAAGGGATGATGGTAGAGAGGGATGATGTTATAAGGAGAAGGTAAGCCCTAAATGTTTCTACATGCAGTGAATGGTCAAAGATGATCAAAATATCTCCACTGTGACCTATCTGTCCTGGGTGGCCCTGCGTGGCATGGCTCATAGCTTCATTGAGTTATACAAGTCCCTTCTCCACGACAAGGCTGTGATCTATGAAGGGGATATAATTGGGAAGAGGGTACAAAAACTGTGGCTTTTAAAGCCTTAGGCTCTACCAGTACAAGTTCTGCACAGAATCACAAGTGTGGTATTTAATCTCTTTTCACCTCAACTTCATTATTTCTATTATGTCAAAATTAAAAACAACCCTAGAGTTACTGTGAAAATTTTGTGAATTTTCCTAACTTTTTTCCTCAGTGTCTTAAATCATGAATTTCTGTTAAGTGAAGAATGTCTTCTACCTAATGGTGGAAATATTTATAACCCATTGACTGAATTTTATATATATTCCTGGGCTTCAAAGGCAACTTAATCTAGAACATACTTGTTTACAGTAGAGGAAGTTGGGACCAAGTGAGATTAAGTGATTTACCAATATTATCTAAGCAGTAAGTGAAAAACATAGAACTAAACTGGTACTGCTTTTGTGGGGTGGGGGGTGAATTCTGTACTGCCCACTTTGTGTGATTACAGGTCCGAGTATATTTCTTAATTTGGTTTCAAGGATGCTCTTGTTCTTTGCAGGGCTAAAGATTTTCTTAGAGATCTTCAAATACTCACATTATTTAACATTGTTCTCTACAAAAGCAGCTGTAGATACTTTTTTTTGTTGTTGTCACCTACCACTAAGGAACTTGCATTGTGACATTTTCTTCTGTTGAACCTTTTAAGTATTTATCACACCATTGGAAATTGGATTTTAGATTGGAAACCAAAATCTGGAGGCTTGAAATTATGATCAGATGTTCTCAACTTAGGATAAAATAAACACACCTCACTAAAGATTTTTATCTGTTGCTCAATTTATGTCTTGTATTTTAGGTGGAAATAGAGAAGCTGAAAAAAGCATTCCTGTCTTCCTGAGGTGACGTGCACCCAGTGTTCTGGATGTTCCAGGGATTCAGAAGCAACACTATGAACTTCAACGGAAATAACAAATGCTGATGTTGTGATAAAGAATATGAGTATATGAACTCATATACTATATGAATATAGTATATTATATCTATAGAAAAGTTGTAGGTGGGAGGGTGAATTTTTTTATATATTTTGTTTTGCCAATACGAAAAAAAAAAAAAAGAGGCCTTATTTCTTATGTGCTGGGATTGCAAACTTTTGTTTAGTTTGCTTGAAAATACTACTGAATCTGTATAAAAAGGAAAGAAAGTTCACAATAGTTGTTTTTTTTTTTTATCAAAATTGTAGTATTTTTAAAGAGATCTATGCTATAAATATGGTGGTATCTTTTCAAATAATCTGTAAAATATGTCATTTGAGAGGGACAGTTTAGCTTTATAGTAACTGTAGCCACTACTTTTCCCATAAAACATAAGGGATATAAACTTTGTATATATATATTTTTTATGTTTAGCTTCTTAACCCAGGATTACACTGTTGTGCCTGTTTGTTTGCAGTGCTGTTTATACTCTGGGTGATGAAATAGTAGTTTCCTAGCTACAAACCAGATTACTCACCCATGCATATAGTAATAACTAATGAAATAATCAAAATAACTCCTTCAACTTTGGGAATATTTTATATTGCTTGCACTATAGGATTCATAAAAGGAATTTAGTTAAAATGTATCAGATTGTTAAATATATTGGGGAAAATATGAGCTATAGTCTAAGCTCGTATGAGGTCTAAGGAACTAAAAATGTCGGTTTAACCCTTAACTTGTGCCTGTAAGCAACAGCACATAAATATGCAAACACCAGCCTTATCGCTGTACTTCTCTGCTTATTTTACGGGCTCAAATATTAACTCATTTCATGATCTTGTGATTTAATTCTTCATGCCCCTGCCTCTGATTTTTAATAACCAAAATGTAGAAAACAAAACTCCAGAACTTTGAGAACTTGAGTGTGCAGTTTCATACTTTGACACGCTAGCATTATGTATATCCTCAGGTTTTGCATTGTGTAATTTACCTGCTAGACTAAGCTAACTGCTGGAGATGTTTTGGGCTATCATTTAGGTACCAACTTTAAAAAGAGTGTCTAGTAGATCATAAAGCTTATTTAAAACCAAATATAGTTGGCCATTTTCAAAATGCATTTTCACAAAATGGGTAAAGACCAGATTCTTCAGAGTCACTTATGAACACTTGAGTATTTTAAAATGTTATCTACAGATAAGATGTCTCAACATATGTGAGCTTATATTAAAAGTAAAAATTTGATTTTTTTTTTTGCAAAATGATTAGACTTTAAGCTTTGTTATAGCAAATGACTTTCAGATTTTAAGTACCATCTATCATGCTTCTATTTTATATTGTTCAAACCCCCAAACCAATATTTTTCCTTTAAGTTTTAGTCTTAAAATACTGAAATCTTGTGTTAATGAAATTTTGTCATGTTGTCTCCAATAAAAGAAAAATGAAATAGAAAATAATAGAAACTCCAATACATAATTACTTGATGTTAGATCCACAACTTTAGTGCTTTGGGGGAAATCTGATTGTGTATTGAGTGAATACATTTTAACTTTTTAAAGTCCTTAGGCTCTTCTGATGAGGTCACTACTGAACAAAATTGTTTATTCCTCGTCTAATGTTTTTAAATGACTTGTCAAATGAATGATTTCCTTCTTAAATAAATTGTATCTAATTTTCTTTTAATATGAAGGTCCTTAGGTAGAAATAAAAACAGAGTATTCTGGAAATCATCCTTCAGTTTGATGACTGTAAAGTCTTATGAAGGGACTCCTCCCCACCCTAATAATAGGGCAGGGAAAGTTTCCAGAGGATTTAAGGCTGTTTGTTCTTAAAGTTTTTGTTGGTTATTTTCTCACCAGTGCGTAAGATCAAGATGGTCATGAGTGCAGAAAGACATTTAAATTTAAAGTATTTGTTTGCCTCAGTTAGAATTGAAAAATAATTAAGTACCATATCTGTTTTCCTGCCCTTGACCAAATAGTAAAGAAAACCCAACAAATTCAAAGGGAAAAATGATTATTTTAATCTAGCAATTCACCAGTATTTGCTCTTGATATAGGAATTTTATTAATTCCTATAAAGTTCACATCACAAGATGCCGTGTAATAATAATAGCTTTTACTTGGGGACAAATCTTTCACTTTTTTTTAATAATGAGTGAGTATAAATGACAGTGCAGAGGTGAACTGCTTGGCATCTGTCATTGCCAGACTGTTAGTGAATGTGTTGTTCAGGTTTGCTATTCTTTGAAACACATCATATTACTAATTTTCAAAATTATATTTTAATATTAGATGTACTGTGTGTATGTATGCGACCACTAGGCTTCGGTCATACTATAAAGCTGTTAACCTCTCTACAAAATCTAAGTCTGAAGATAGGAAGAGAGAATGGGCCTGGTGTAACAGAGGATTCTCTTTTTATGCTTCTTACTGTGATCACAGAAAAAACAACAACAACCCAAGTGCTCTCTGGATGTATTGGTAAACATTTTATGCTTGCATTTAAACTTGAAATGTATGAACAGAATGAGACAATCAGTTCAAATCAGCAATGAGAAGTGTTAATGTAATAGCCTTGTATTGCTGTAGCAATAAAATGACCAAGTGCAATGACTTGATTTAATAAAATCATCTTTTTAAAAGTTGCTGCTATGAATATTTTTAGCCATAAAATTTTACCCTTGTTATAGCCTAACTTGCCTTCAGTAACTGTTGTGTAATGCAGTTGGTGTTGTGGTATTCTAACATTCCAAAAAAAAAAAAATAATATATATTTATGGGGAAACTCAGAACAGTATACTTCACTGACTTGTTTACAGGTGCTGTAAAAAGCATGCTTTTCCTTCAAAAAGAAAATAAAGAATAGTATTGCCAGTTGTGTCGGTCTTTATTGATTATTTTTTCATTAACTTCAGCTTATGCTTATTGCAGAGTATGACAAAGATTATTTTATATTACTTTGAGTTTTCCAAATAAAACAGTTTTAGTTGCTCAGTTGTGTCCAGCTCTTTGCAATCCAAATACAACAGTGCTAACAGGAAGATATAAAGGCATTAAAAGTTCTAGACTTGTATGATGTTTCTTGAACATTTGTGAGTCTTTTATTTCAGTTGGAACTGTGAGATAATTCCTACCTCACAGTACTGGGAGAATTTGAAATGATTTATATGAAGTACCTTATGGAGTCTTTGCCATGGGGTAGAATTTTTAAAATGGGAGAGATTAATTTACTCTTCTCAAAAACATCTTGCAGTGATGGAGATGATGTGAATTAGGCAGATGAAAAAGGCACAGTACATCCTCTCCCCTTGTTTTTGAATGCAGCGTCCCTTTCTTTGGAGGAAATGTTCATTTCATTTGTCTTCTATTCAAAATGGATCTGAGAGTGCTTTGCCCAAATTGAAGTCTCTTATTGACTCAGAGATTGAGATTTTTAAACATTTGAAACAAAGAGGTAGTCTCAGCATGGCAGCTCTCCACAGTTACATTTTTCTGTCATCTGGAAAAAGCTGATTTGAAAGAGCAAAGTAGAGTATAAAGATATGAGAATAGAATACAGGAGGATTTTGAAACTCAGTACAGTTTTCCCAAGCCTCAACTACCCATCCATTGCTTGGTTGCTTAAGTATAAACTTGAACATAAACTTTTTGGGTTTCTGAACTCGCAACTGGATGTTCTGGTAAATAAGAGAAAATACAGTCATGTGCCCTTATCCACAGCAGGTACATTCTAAGACCCCCAGAGGAAGCCTAGAGCCACAAGCAATATTGAACCTTATATTATGTCATGTTTTCTCCTATACACATGCTCCTGTGGTAAAATTTAGTTTATAAATGAGGCACAGTTAAGAGATTAACAACTAATAATGGAACAGTTACAAGAATATAATGAAAGTTACATGAGTATGGTTTCTCTCTCAAGATATTTTACAAATATAATGTCTTTTTCATTTTAACTAAGAACTTTACCACACATCGTGGCTGGACCTAACTTTTGCAGCTTGAAGTGGAACAGCAAAACTAGCAGGAATTTGTTTTCTTCACAGTTGTGCGGATAGAAGATTCTTTTTTTTGCCATAGATCTTAGCAGCATCAGCAGATGATTTTTTTTTTTTTCTTGTTCTCAAGAGCTGTCATTGTTTCGCTTAAAGGAAGCACTGTTTGTCATTTCTGAATTGCCAGTATCACTACTCTTATGCTCTGGGGACATTATTAAATAAAGCAAAGAGTTAGTTAATGTAAGCACTGCATCCCTGTGTCTCCTAAGTGACTAATGTCCAGACCAGGATGGTGCAGGATTTGTCATGCTATTCCAAACAACATGCACCTTAAAGGTTATGAATTATTTCTGGAAATTTTCATGGTTTTTGGACTGCAATTGACTGCAGGTCACTTAAAGTGCACACAGCAAAACCACAGGTAAGGCAGCACTACTATCCAGAAGACATGATGCCCACTTACTCTTGCTGAGCACATATATGACTCCAGACTTCGTGGAAATCCAAAAGGTCTGAGTCAGAAAAGGATTAAGGCACTACTATGAAGCAATGTGGAAAATAAGTGTAGTAAGTCATTTTAAAATTTTTAGTTTGATAATTTTTGCTTTTTGTTGGACTTTATAAACATGGGGTAAATTAAGCCTTGCAGGTGCAAATGATGGTAAGATTTTGGATGATAGAGTTTCAGTATTTGAAAGGACATTTACATTGTCTAACACCTGTGCAGATGGTTGTCTGAAGGAAAAGTTTTCAAATTTAGCTCCATTTTAGGAAGTAAAAGCTGACAGCAGCTTAACTCAAATGGGTCTATTTGACTTTATTTGCTACTCAAGGTTTAAGAGACTAGGTGGTGGTGGAGTGTGAAAAGTTTTTTCTGAACCCTAACAATTATTGTTTTTATTTTTACCACTTACAACTTTATTGTGAATATGCTTACATAAAAGGAAAATAAATTTAGAAATAAATATCAGTATTTTTTGTATAGAGCTAATATTTTTTTTATCACAGGTGTTGTGGTTTTTCATTTTGCAGCTATTGGGTGGTGTTCTTTCCTATCAGTTTATAAGTGGTTTTTAATAGCTATATGTCAATTCCCAGAAAATTGTGTGAATACTGCTAGGAAAAGTAAAATTGTATTTTAAGTGCACTGAGTAACTTAGTTCTTTAATAAGGGAAATAACTTGTTAATATTTAATGTGTATTTTTAGAAATATTGCTAAATGTTAACAGGATGCAAATATAGTCTGACATGATAGAATAATATTTCACTCTTATCCTCTCCCTTGAAACCGACCAAAAACAATAAAAGAATGAAAAATCGACTTGATAGATTGAGAGACTTAAGGTAAAAACATCCTTCCCAAATAAACAACCACAACAATTTTATAGTAAAAATATCTCCCAAGTGCTTTGAGATTTGGAACAAAATAAAGACATGTCCATCAGATCGTCTTAGATGTGAATCCTCTATGGCCAAATGGCAGTGGCTGTGAAACTGAAAAGAAGCCAACCGCTGTAAGCCCTACTGACTGAAGGCAGGAGACCTAGGGGCTCCCAGAAAAGAACACGTTTGATGATGGAGTGTTTTAGAAACTACCACTATTTAGAACTACTTTTAGAAACTAGATAACTGATAAAAGTAGAGTTATCTCCTGCTGCTCTTCTCTGTGCTAATCGGGTGGATTCAAAGGTGAGCAATCAGCCTATAAACCTCCAAGACAAGTGTTATTCTCTGTTCTGCAATTTTTAATGGAAAAGTATAAAGGTCCTTGAGAGTAGGCTATCCTGTATATTCAGGCTATAGGCAATATTCCATTACAAAAGGTGCAAAGCCAACATGATTAAGCACAGGCAACAGAGTTCAAAGGTTAGAACTAGAGGGGTTTTTAACGTCCAACCCCATGGACTGCAACACACCAGGCATCCCCTGGAGTTTGCTCATACTCGTGTCCATTGAGTCCAGTGTTTCCATCGAGCCATCTAATTCTCTGTCGACCCTTTCTCCTGACTACACTCTTTCCCAGCATCGGGGTCTTTTTCAATAAGTCAGCTCGCTGCATCAGGTGGCCAAAGTATTGGAGCTTCAGCTTCAGCATCAGTCCTTCCAATGAATATTCAGGGTTGATTTCCTTTAGGATGGACTGGTTTGATCTTGCAGTCCAAGGGACTCTCGGGAGTCTTCAACACCACAGTTCAAAAGCAATTCGGTGCTCAGCCTTCTTCATAGTCCAACTCTCACATCCATACATAGCTGGATGTGATATGGAAAAATCATAGCTTCGACTCTGAATCTTTGTCAGCAAAATAATGTCTCTGCTTTTTAATATGCTGTCTAGGTTTGCCAAAGCTTTTGTTCCAAGGAGACAGCGTCTTTTAATTTCATGGCTTCAGTCACTATCTGCAGTGATTTTGGAGTCCAAGAAAATAAAGTCTGTCACTACTTCCACTTTTTCCCCTTTCTTTGCTCTGAAGTGATGGGATCAGATGCCATGGTCTTAGTTTCTTGAATGTTGGGTTTTAAGCCAGCTTTTTCACTCTCCTCTTTCACCTTCATCAAGAGGCTCTTTAGTTCCCCTTTGCTTTCTGCCATTAGGGTGGTGTCATCTGCATATCTGAGGTTATTGATACTTCTGGCAATGTTGATTCCAGTTTATGCTTCTTCATCCAGCCCAGCATTTCGCATGATGTACTCTGCATATAAGTTAAATAAGCAGGATGACAATATACAGCCTTGAAATACTCCTTTCCCAATTTGAAACCAATCTCTTGTTCCATATCCGGTTCTAACTGTTGCTTCTTGACCTGCATACAGGTTTCTCACGAGGCAGGTAAGGTGGCCTGGTATTCTCATTTCTTTAAGAATTTACCACAGTTTGTTGTGATCCACATAGTCAAAGGCTTTAGCATAGTCAATGAAGCAGATGTTTTTCTGGAATTCTCTTTTTCTATGATCCAGCGGATGTTGGCAGTTTAGTCTCTAGTTCCTCTGCTTTTTCTTAATCCAGCTTGTACATCTGGAAGTTCTCTGTTCACATACTATTGAAACCTAGCTTGAGGGGTTTTGAGCATTACTTAGTTAGCTTGTGAAATGAGTGCAACCGTGTAGTAGTTTGAACATTCTTTGGGATTGGAATGAAAAGTGACCTTTTCCAGTTGTGTGGCCACTGCTGAGTTTTCCAATTTGCTGGCATATTGAGTGTGGCACTTTAACAGCATCATTTTTTAGGATTTTAAATAGCTCAGCTGGAATTCCATCACCTGCACTAGCCTTGTTTGTAGTGATGCTTCCTAAGGCCCAGTTGACTTTGTACTCCAGGATGTCTGGCTCTAGGTGAGTGATCACACTATCACGGTTATCCAGGTTATTAAGATCTTTTTTGTATAGCTCTTCTGTGCATTCTTGCCGCCTCTTATGTCACACTTTCACATATGAGGTTGTTTTCTCTTACACTTTTACATCTGAGGAAACAGGCTCAGAGAGGTTAAGCAACTTGGCCAAGGCATAGAAGTATAGAGCTAAAACTAGGCCAGCTAATTTTGAAGCCTGTGCTCTTGAT